TAGAAAATTCAACAGAAATTGGAAATAAGTAATCGAAATTTCATCATTGGTGTAGAAAATATGAGAAAAAAAGTTATCACAACCCCCTGTCCACTGGATAAAATGTCCGAAATGGCTTCCTGGTCAAAAAATGACCCATTCGAGGATGAAAAAAGAAGGGCGAATTGTTTCAAATGTCATCCAGAACAGGCGGAAAAGAAGGTGAAATTTGTAACTTTATAGTGAAATATCCTAATGAATAATGGTTTGTTCACATTTTCATTATCAAATTCATGTTTTTCAGACAAATTAAACACGTATATAAGTACCAAAAAAAATTCTCGAAAAATAACCCATCGCATGATAAGTGCAAAATTACCAATCCAGATACCGATACCATCATGAACTCTTGAAATTTTGAATTTCAAATCATTCCTAGTAGCTGAATTGTCACAGGGGTGGCTTGATTTCAGCGGCCACCCAGTATGATAACCTCAAGGCTAAACGTGTAACCCCTCGAATTACAAAAGTGAAGCAATTTAAAAGTAATCGAACTCACCTCATTTTATAATCAAAACTCCATCATATAGTCACTGCAACAGAAAATTTTAAACTTTCAAATAAGTAGGTATGTCCTAAAGTCACTTTTATTGTCACTAATCGGCGATCGACACAAACTCACTTATTCCAAAACTCTGAATTTGGATTCAGACATCAACACCCACTATAACGAAATTACAATAACATTGCGACACGCATATCAAAACACATGAAATTTCAACGAGCACAAAAAATGACACCGACTACTTCGAAAAATGCGCGTAAACCTTATCAAAAATGAAACGCACTAATAGTTCTAAATAGCACGCGAGAAGCGCTGGTGACTGCGAACGAGAGCTGCCACTCTCGTCGTCAAAAGCGAACAGTCGGCGGAAAATCAGCTGTTCCTCATCTTTTCGCGGCAGCAGAGATGTATTTCACAGCCTACCGTGACCACGACTCTGCGCTCAAATGAATCATCAATGTTTTTATTAAATTCTGGGACATGCCAAGGGCGCCGCATGTTGATGTCTGATTAGTCTGATGGAAAGGAGTCGGTGTTTGTTTAATTTCATTAATTTCGGTATACTTAGGTGAGATGTTTATAACTAATAGGTAATGTCAGACGTACAGTGGCGGATGAAGGACCTTGGTGACAGTCCTGGATTACCAATAAGGACAAACTATATAGGCCCTGGGCCTGGCATGTGGCGTAGGTTTTCCAAGCATCCCAATTTGCTCGGTAGTTTCCTGCTTTTTCACCTCCTGCTTAGCCTCATTCAAAGAACACAAATACTCTGTGCTTATGAATAGTAGTGCGGATTGTCTATTTCCAGAAATATGTAACTGCGCTCAAAATTTAACAATTAGTGTTACGTAAGGGGATTGAATCCCTTACACGTAAAGTCTCAGGAGAGAAAAAAATGGACTGGAGGCAAATTGAGCGTGGTCTTTAAGATCTTACCTTATGGTTATTCCGTGGAATTATGTTGTAGTGACGGGCCGGTCGGCACTCTGGACTGGACGTATGGGATGAATGGTCTTCCCTCAGGAACTATATCTGGTACCACTCGCGTCACGAGAGATAACTAATACTTAGTGACACTTAATGTTCCATTAACGTCTGGCGGACGGAAATTTGTTATTGTTGAGAAAATTTTACTTGGAAAGATCCAACCCACTAAGCAATGTTGAAAGCTATGTTGATGCAATGTTGAAGCAATAACTGAAAAGGACGTTCAGCAATATTGCAAAAGTGAAGTTTGATAATGTAGCGTTGCAGCAATATAACATGTTGCTGTGACATTGCTGGAACGTAACATTTACAAATTCACATTTGCAATATTGCTGAACGTCTATTTTCGTATTTGCTACAACCTTGCATCAACATAGCTTTCAAATTTGCTTAGTGGGAAGGCGATCGAATTCGAATGTCGGATTCGATGTACGAAAAAGTTCAAAATCTTTTATCCGCGGTGGCCAGTTGGAGGCGCTGCATGTAAAACCTCAAAGACCTGATGCACGAATTCAATTTTGAGATATACAGTGAGCCAAACACGGATAGCAGATAATGCATACAAATTCATTATTATTTTGAGTTTACATAAAAGGACATAATAAAGGAGATGGACGGAACAATTAGAAACCTAAGAGAAAAATGCAAGGGATAGTCATCAGTGACATTTTTCAAACAAGGTGAGATATGAATATTCCACTCCCTCGAAAAACCTACAGGGTGATTCATGTAGGCCAAACATTAGAAGCATCACAGTTTTCGAGATAAATGTCGAACACGAGAACTATCACTTGCACATGTCTGTGATAGCCATCTAGTGACGTAATCACATTCCACTGAGCAGTATCGTTTCTAATTGCGATACGCCAACACGGCCATCCTCTGAGATTGGGACACTCTCGGCCCAACAAGCTCGGTTTCATCCTGACTGAATTTCATGTCCTTCAGGGCTAGCTCAATCTCACCAGAAAGCACAATTGTGAACCCACCTTATTGTCAGATGGCCTAGTTATCAACCCACCTTGCCACAAGGCCTTTTTGTCAACCGACCTTGTCATCAGGCCTAGGTGTCAAACCATTTTGGCACCAGAGGCTTAGGTGTCAACCCACCTTGTCACCAGGCCTAGGTGTCAAACCACCTTGCCACCAGGCCAAGGTGTGAACCCCATCTTGCCACCAGGCCTAGGTGTCAACCCACCTTGTTACCAGGCCTAGGTGTCAATCCAACTTGCCACCAGGTCTAGGTGTCAACCCAACTTGCCACCAAGCTTAGGTGTCAAACCTACCTTGCTACCAGGCCTAGCTGTCAGCCAACGTTTTCACCAGTCCTAGGTTTTCAACTCCTCTAGCCACCAGGCCTAGGTATGTCAACACATTCTGCCACAACCCACATGATATTTTGTTTTCAATACATCAGTCAGGACAAAATTCGTGTGGTTATAAATATATAATAGATGAATAAATATCTCTATTTTCCTCTAGACTTTACCAAAGTCTAGGATAGTCAGGTTGAGGAGTTCAGTTAACCACTATGTCTGATATGTGTACACTTGGTGTCAATTCCAGACGTAATCCGTTTGAACCGAGGTCCAATCTTGGCCCAATATTCCTTTTCTCTCAATGCAAGTGTCCAATCTTGTATTCATGTATTCGATAATATCGGTACAATCCTACGTTCAATCTGTCCAATACGTGTACGATTTTGGGAGAGAGTATTACACATCGATACCCTCTCCTCACTCTAATAACCAAATAATATACTCATCAATCCGTCGCTAACGGAACACGATCGGCAAACATAGGTTCATAGAAAACAAAAATTAAATCGAATTATGCATTAATGTTACCACAGGTCTCTATCAATATTTTTTTACCGCTTTCGAACATAACAACCGATATATCACTAGTGTCAACAGACACTATATACAAATCAAATATCAGTCCAAGGCCTGAGTCTGAATATGGACATGAAGATTTTTCATACACAATGATGCAGTTTGGTGATTTTTTTTTGAAAAATAAGGAAGTGTATAAGTCAGCGACCTTGCCTTACTAATGTAGATTTTACTGAAATATACATATACTCTCAGGATATTTATACAAAGTACAACAAAAATATGTCAATAATGCAAACAGATGAACTTATTTAATTGAAGGAGAATGATTTTCTAAATGGGTAAAAGTAATTGCGGATAATTCAGATTGATTGATTAATGGATATATCCGTCTCATAGTGCAATGTTCTTTATATCGCCTCTCGTATATACTTCAACAGAAAGGTATGTCATACAAAATTCTCGATTCCTGTTGAAATTCCGCACCTTGTATTCCTCGTATTGAAAATCAATTATTGTGAAAATTATTCTAATGATATAAAAAAATCCAACAATCCTTCTCTCCCTATCCTTCCTAGGTGGACACGATATATGTTCTTCGAGCATCATAGGAATTTCCTTTCGTGCGCTCCAAGAGTAAAAAACATGTCGAGGCATGATACTATATAACCAACCGAACCCAACCGAGTCAACCTTAGGATAATATATAATATATTTCATTAATCCGTCAGATTATTTCCATTCAGGAAATCATTCTACTACAACGAAATAAGTTCATCTGTTGCATTATTGCCATATTTTTGTTGCACCTTGTATAAATATCAATTATTGTGAAAATTATTCTAATGATATGAAAAAATCCAACAATCCTTCTCTCCCTATCCTTCCTAGGTGGACACGATATATATTCTTCGGGCATCATAGGAATTTCCTTTCGTGCGCTCCAAGAGTAAAAAACATGTCGAGGCATGATACTATATAACCAACCGAACCCAACCGAGTCAACCTGACTCAACCTTAGGATAATATATAATATATTTCATTATTCCGTCAGAGGTACCCATTCAGGAAATCATTCTACTACAACGAAATAAGTTCATCTGTTGCATTATTGCCATATTTTTGTTGCACCTTGTATAAATATCCTCAGGAGTGTATCTTTTTATTTCAGTAAAATCTACATTTCTGAGGTGAATTCGCTGACTTACACTTCCCGATTTTTCATACATTTTTAAAATTTGGTCTTGAAGGTTTTTTTAGGATAGGCCCTTCTTGGCTAGAAGCTGCTTCATGATCTCAGGGCTGTCTTGAAGAACACTTGATTTTATTCGAAATATTATTGTGTAGGATCAAAGAGATCTTGAAGATCTAAATAAAAATAAGAGCATTAATGTTACTTGGGATGAGTTTCATCAATGTTTCAATTGAGAGGTTAAAAACTTTTCTGTAAACAGAATCGCAGTTAGGTACTTTTCAAGCTTTTAATAATATAAATATGCTATAAAAATTATAAATATTCAGTATAGTAAGTTTGCTTTGAGCAATATTATGTTATTTGGCAGTTTTCGCACATTTATTTATCTCCAGTACTAGTAATCATGAGGTGTATATCGTAGTGAAATTTTCATATCCTAGGTAAAATTGGCAGAAATCGTTTTGGAAATGCATTCTAGAAGAGCTTCGAAGAAGTTCGGAAACCCATCATAACCTGAAATGAATATATTTGAAATAGTTATTCATACAGGCCAGCGTAGCCTCGTGGTTAGAGCGTCAATGTTCTATCTACGTTGGATTACCGGTAGTGGGTTCGATTCCCACCACGAACGTAAAAATGTTTCTGATGGCCTAAGAAAGTGTTTGGGATCACACGTTAAAAGGTAAGACTCCCGTCATTCCTTGCTCGCACAAGTCTCTTGAAGACTTCTGAGGGTTGCTCGTAAGGGGGCAACCGAATGATGGATAAGAACAATATACCATATGATAAAGAATATCATTATTATCCAGGAACCAAGATGATATCCCGAGACTCCAGCCGATTATAATTTTTCCACCTTATGCAATGATTATCAATCATTTATAGTTCCGTGCAACTAAATAATATAATATGAAAGCGCATGATTTTAATGCTCATACTAGTGGAAATTTCTAAATTACTTAAAACTGTGTCTGAAATATTCCTTATTCGAAATATCTCTCATTTTGAATTCAAAACTATAATTTGCTCAACGCTGTTAGTTATACTGTTCGTCTCAAACCCCACACTTGGGCCTAACCGTTGAATGGTATATTACGCTCACGCTGGGAAGATGCCCAACTTTACGGAGCAAAACGAGGTATAAAAAATTCTCACAACTAGATGGTATAGCATAGTTCGTGATCCCACATGGTGGCGGCGATAGTGTCAAAAGATGTCGAAGGAATACTTCCTAATTTGACTGGCAGGTGCGCCACTTGCGAAGAAAATCAATTGGAATGTAGATGACGCGGGACTCGGAACGGTAAAACGAACCATAATGCAGAACGCTCGTATCTCGTATCATGGATATTTCGCACCCACGATCAATCAGAACGATTCTAGCTGCAGTGTGGCAGTTGATTCTAATTTGTTATTAATAGTTTTGCTGGATGTGCTCATATCGAGCGCATCACGGACGTAAGATCCTGAAAAAATGTTTATTGAAATCGAATAAGAGTGAATCACCAAATCTAATGCTTCAACAATCAATACTTCCATTGCATTCTTTCCAAATAAACACTTAAAAAACGTTAGTCTGTATCAGCATTTAAACCTGCAATCTTCAGCTTATCAAGCCGGCACGCTACCCTTTAGTGACCATCGGACTTATGCGAAAATTACGACGAAACAGGTCACAAATTGTGTTTTTCGATTACTAACCACACAAGTTCAACTCTGGCACGTTCTGATTTGTCTAACGAATCGTCTATCAATGGTTGTTTGGGCAAGAGGAATTGGTGCTGATATATCCAAAATATATGTTGTTTTTGGCTTAAATAAATAAATTCGTTGTAGTGAACAGACATTCACTGTTGGAAAGTGTGTTTTAAATTCGCGAACCCGGATCAGATTAAATCAGTTTTAATCTTCTCCTGAAGATGCTAAAATAGTTAGCAAAACACGAGTCGAGGCGTATAAAAAATCGGTTTGGTTAGTGGTAAAACAGTGTAGTGTATTATCGTGCCAAAGGTTGCAATATTTTTACCCCCTGTATCTTCGTAAGGTTGCAGTATTTTTACCCCCTGTATCTTCGTTGCTATTTTGATTGGATGTTTCAAATTTGGTACATCGATTTTATTGCACGAGTGAATGATTTTGCTAGTATCAGAGAAATATGAATCATCCGGTTTCACCGAAGTTGCATCCAATTTTTTAATTTCAAATACAAAGTATAATTTTTTTCTGGATATTATACGATTCAGTATAAAATTAGCTTGCAAACGATATATTATTATCACAATCATAATTATGTTCAATCCACAATCTAGTTATATAATTGAGATTTTAAAAAAACATACTTTTTGTACTCCCCTCCCCTAACGGAATATTTTCATGAAAGTGCACTCCGTGCAGCGCCCCTTAGCGTCTCGATCGTTAATTGCCGCTTAAAACTGGAGCGAGTACTGCTCTAACGCGTCTTGCCGCAGTCGCTTTGTGTTCAGTCAATGATTTCTGTACCAACCTATAAATTGTTTTTGGAATAATCTGCATAGCTAGGTCGATGATGTCAGTACAATTTTGAATGAAATAAACGTTTTACTTCGTTTTGATGTACATTCTTACCTAATATACCTAAGTAATAATGATAAGTAAACTATACAATGTGGAAACCTACGATAGAAGGAAATCTGTATCTCCATAATTGAAAAATATGCTGAACCATCATCGGAAAGATCGATTTATATATTTATGAAAATCAATTTTTGTATATGAAATTTTTCAACCTACAGATAAAAATTTCTGAATTGTCGTCAAGCTACTCATCAGAGGAATTCAAAACCTTCCAGACAATAAGGTACAACTCAAATTCCCCTTTCTTTGCAAAATTCTGGATGGATTGATTGAACATTTTCATGTAAAATAATTGTTTTCTAATAATAAAAATCGACCAATACGTGGATTTTTCAAAATATTCTTTTGTTATGGTGAAACGGATGTTATTCCAACACAGGTTTCCACAATGTATGAAGCAGAAGTTGATAGAGATGGAAGCTTCTTCCTGTATAACGAAATGACAACCAGGAGATAAAATCTGCTGTGCCCCCACTTCTAAATGATGATAATCGTTGCAAGACTGATGTGAAGTTAATTGCTACTAGCTGGTACAAATGTTTAGCTGAATAGTAAGTGTATAACTCAATTCTGGAATTAAACTGTAAGTAACATCTTTTCTCTTTATTGTGACTTTGATATTCTATGATGGGTAAATTGAAACTGAGTTTCTCTAAGACAAGAAAACTCTTGGACTTTACACCAAGTTTACCCTCGAGTTTACCCTTTTCATTAGTTGTTTCTGAAATAATGTCCTTACCAGGAAATGCATTCACATCAATAATGGCGTATTTGCCAGTTGACTTCTCAATGACTACATCAACTCCTAAAAGTTCCATTCCAAAGGCTTTCCTAAGGGTAGTAGCTATCACATCAATGATCCTTCCATTTGGTTTTGGCCGTTCCCTCACAATATCTTCAGGGTCTAATACAGACAACCTACTCCTTGAATCGGCCTTTGAAACATCACTGGAATCGAAGTGTATGGTCTCCCGGTCGGACGCTTGGAAATTTTTCAAAGAAGGCCTATCAGTGTAACTGTGTTTATCTCCTACTATAAATATCTTAAATAATACAGCATCGTGACTTATAAAACTCTGTGCCACGCAGGGAATCTTGATATCTACTAGACATTTTTCATTGAATATTATCGACATCTCGTGTGCCTGTCGTGAACCGTGTCCCAGCATTGGTTTGCATATGAAGGGGTACATCACATTGGCTGATTTCAGTTCACTTTTGATAATGTCAACATCACCCACACTTAGTGTACAAAAGTTTGGAGTGAATACTTCATAGGTATATAAATTAGTGGAATGGATTATACTGTAACAGCTATGTCTATCTAAGAGCTTTTTCACATTTGGTAATGGATCTATCACAACTAGTGACTTGTTCCGGGATATGTAGCTTTCTACGTCTTGGATAATTTTAGAGCACTGAAAAAGAAAGAATTATTTCATTTTAAATCTGTTTTGAATAGATACCGTTGAAGGAGGGTTACTTTGCTATCCAAGATGACTTTGCATGAAAACAATTTCAATTTTTTTATTTGATATCGCTACGAAAATTCAGCTGTGGATATTGTTAGTTATTGCAGCATATAACATACAAACACGTGTAGCTAGATTCCGTGCGTCATTTCTTTGCGATTTTTTGTGTCATGGTTTGAGCAAGAGAAAAAGTTTATCTGAGAGGATGTTACCAAATTTTCGTCGATTTTTTTCAACAGGTTAAATACGATTTATTTCTCGAATCTAAAAAACTTTCGGGGCGACTTTACCATCGATATATCGTTTTTTACAAAATTGATGATATAAGAGCGAGTAGCATACAAATGAAAGATGGCCAACATCGAATATACCATTACTCGTAACATAAATGATAAAACGATGCCAGAATGTAAGTATTTATTCAGAAATGATCGTATGCTATATATCCATCAGGAAGACAAAATCGATACCATGTTTGATAATTTATTTTCACATCTCCTATGGTGTTTCAATATAAGGTTCCCTATGAAAAAAGTGGAACCACAAAAAGCAATCGGGACTGGTAAGGTGCCGTTTTCCAGGGAACTTTACGAAGAACTTAGTAACCTCTAACAGTTGAATTGGATGAGAAAAACCATTGAAAATCCTTTAAGCAATGAGCAGTATAAAAAGGCAAAAAAAAAACAAGTCAACAGTAAAATTTCGTTCAAGTGAAAAGCACAAAACAAAATCTTGAATCACTTGAATCACTGTGATTGAAAAAAATACTGAAGAAAGTGCTTTACTAATTCTTCAAAGTCCAAATTCGATGTTTCCACACCTGGTATGAAACAAAACATATTGAATTAAACATGAGAAAGACATATTCAATAGGAATAGATGAGAATCCAGCCATTTATTTGAAAGAATGTGCCGATGATATATCAGTTATCTTGTCCATCTATGTAATCCAAGGTACTTTTCCAAAAGCAACAAGAGGCCTTATACAACACTGGATCCAATCATATATGTCTGGCAGATCACTCAGGGTACAGGTTGGCGAAAAACAGTCTGATAACTATGATATTTTAGTTGGAACGCCCCAAGGTGAAGTTCTAGGTCCACTACTTTTTCAACTTTATACAGGGTGTCCCTAGACCAGTGGGACAGTTAAATATCTTCTGAACCAATAGAACCAAAATATTATAATTCCACATCATATCGCATTATGAGTGCTAACTTCAGGAATTACTATATTTTATACGAGGGGCGCAAGAAAGGCTCACAAAATCGAACATAAATTTTTTCATATAGAACACCCTGTATTTCATTGCATTTTCATATTCTCCTTGAAGAGCTGAATTCAACGACCCAGCACACTTGGGGTCTAGCGGGAATGATTTCCGAGATATAGGATGTGGAAAAATCGAGATTTTTCATTTTTGGGATTTTTTTGTGTCAAAACTATTCATTATTGGTCAAAACGGCTTACATGTCCATGTCTTAACTTTTGATTCACTGTTTACTCGTATTTAATTGAAACAAATACAGGGTGGTGTAGAATTCTGACTGAAACTGAGAATTCTACACCACCCTGTATTTGTTTCAATTGAATACGAGTAAATAGTAAATCAAAAGTTGATATATGGACATGTAAGCCGTTTTGACCAATAATGAAAAGTTTTGACACAAAAAATTCCCAAAAATGAAAAATCTCGATTTTCCACACCCTATATCCCGGAAATCATTCCCGCTAGACCCCAAGTGTGCTAGGTCGTTGAATCCAGCTCTTCAAGGAGAATATGAAAATGCAATGAAATACAGGGTGTTCCAATTGAAAAAATTGATGTTCGATTTCGTGAGCCTTTCTTGCGCCCCCCGTAGAAAATATAGTTATTCCTGAAGTTAGCACTCAAAATGCGATATGATGTGAAATTATGATATTTCGAAAATTCCTAATGGTTCAGGAGATATTCAACTGTCCCACTGGTCTAGGGACACCCAAATGACCTCACTGCGTATATTACTCAGGTATGTAAATTTATATATGCAGATGACACTACAATTATCGTTGCCGCTGAAACCTTAACCGAATCAAAGGATAAAGTAAAGCATGTTACAGACAATTTCAAACAATGGTGCAGAATGAATCACCTTATTGATAACACGAATAAGACAGTATTCATAGAATTTACTAGTTCTCTCAAACCAAAAGCAACTCAGTATTCAATCTCTGTGGTACAAACATTCCAACCTCGGAGTCAACCAAATATCTGGGCTCAGAATTAGATTATAAGCTAGCTTTCAATGGCCAAATTGATTTTCTTTGTAAAAGACTGAATGAACTATATTTTGCATTTTCCACATTGAAATCTAATTTTCATGATAATTACCTGGTAAACAGGTACTATGGGCTGGTATATCCGATAATCAGTTGTAATATTATTGCATGGGACAGAGCCACAGAAATCAATGGTCTTCATCATTCAGAAAATATTCATCAGAACTTTGTTCAATTTGGACTACAGAGATTCTTGTAGGGACACATTTAGGCACTCATAAGAATGTAAAAAAGGAAGAAAAATTAAAATTATCATGAATACAACACAAGAGACACAAATGATCTCCGTGTACATCAACCATACAGAAACCAGCCCAAGAAATCACCACTTTATGCCGGATGCTATTTTTACAACTCATTACCTGACAGTATTGAAGCAATCACAAAAAATGCAAATAAATTCAAATCAACTTTGAAAGAAATTTCAATTTTTCATTCATTTTATTCTTTAGACAAGTATACCCATCTTGCAGTTAGTGATTAATATTTTTAAAATACTTTGGGTATTGTAATATATTTGTTCTGCTTGTTTGTAATTTCAACATAATTTTTCAAGGTGTCTCTAAGTATATATGTACCACTTGTTTTTTCTGACCTGTCTCATGTTGTGGAAATGACCTAAAGAGATTAATAAACTATCTATCTATCTATCTATCTTGTATTCCATTCCATGACTTCCTCCAGAAGCACATCGTTGCTCATTCCTCATTTATTGTTGCCATTTATACAGGGTGTCCATGAGTTATGAATCAAAAGAAGTGGGTGGTAAGGAGCAATTTTCAATCAAACTCACCATAATATGTGGTTATCATCCGATTGGCGACCCATTTTAATATCAAGAAGGCTGTTTTGAATAACCTTATTTAATCCATTTCAAAATCAGTATTGAATGAGCAACTTTTGGTCATCTTTGTGGGGCAGTTTTTAAATCTGCTGTGGCATTGAAAAATAAACTGAATTATTCCATTCAACAAAACTTAAACAACATTCTTCCTAATTGATATCAAGTAACACAGGTCATAAAATAATTTCGTGGAAAAGGTGCATCCAGGTGGATAAAATTTGTAAAAGAAAAAATGTTCTTGTAGTAAACAAACTACATGATTTAAGTAAGTGAGAAATGAAAAATTTTGAATAGGTAACTTTTGAATCATCAACAATTGGTTAACCACATATACGGTTAGTCTGATTGGAAAAAAACCTCTGACCATTCCACTTCATTTGATCAAATACTTATGGGACACCCTGTATATATTTTTGGTATTTATTTTTGGATTGATAGGAATAATAGATTCATTTTACAGTTAGATAGAATGAATAATAAGAATGAATTATTTTTAAAAACATGTAATGGTAGCAAAGTCACCAATTCACATTGATTTTAAATGAGTTTTGTGGGTTTTGTTCGGCGGCTCGGTGGTCAAGAGCGTGAAGGCGCTGAGTTCGTATGGGGACTCTCACCGAGACATAGGTTCGAATCCTAGTTAGGCCATGGATGTTTGTGTTTGTCTGCTTACCTAACCCTGCACAAGTTTCGACTTATGGGGCGTTTGGTCCCAGTGCTGGGACCAACGAGGTTATGCAATTGCAAAAAAAGTAACCCTTTGTGTTAGGTGGCTTTGTCAAATTTTCAAAAAATGAATAAACATTTTGGGCAGACAATTTCCAATATTCTGATTGAGCTACCCGGTAGCTGAAAAATGAAAATATGATATAAACTCACCCGAATAAATAATTGGGATATTTTTTAATGCAAATGACATAGATATTAATAACTGCACCCCAGTTTTTCTAGAAGAATGTGTACATAGCAAAAACACAATATCCTTAACTCACGCATACAACATCTAGACATTAATAGCTATACCACATGTTTTCTAGAAAAATGTCTTCATAGTAGAAAGACCTGGAGAAATACAATATCCTCAACTTTTTTTGATCTGTTTAGTTTTTACAGAATCCATAATGTTGATAAATAAAAAAGTTATGATGACAAATGTGCGAAAATGTGTGCAAAGTAACCCCTGCTTAGGGGTGGGCGATAGTGATTTTGGATTATGGATAATCACAATGTATTGATATTATCAAAAATGTCGATATTATCAATATTATCGATAATTTTATATGAATCATTGATATTGTTATTTTTTGCATCAAGTACCAGAGAAGGAACATTGGGCGTGCTACGGGTGGAAAGCGAACTATATACTACATTCCAAATAAGATGATACATAGTAGGTGGCGCTTCTTCTGAAGGAATGTTTACACTGACAAAATAAATGTATGACGTCTAATCCAAAATGATGGTGAAATTTCAATGTAGGAAAGGAATTATAGGACATCTTTCCATAAAGAAAACTTCAACCGTTACGCCACGTCGTAAGTCATATCAGGCAAGAGATGGGTAATATTGCCTCCAATATTAGCCAATGAAAGCCAAGTTCAACGCTCCCCTATGACTTCCAATGCTGTCTTCTTAGTTGGAATGAACTATAATAGGAGTGGGCTATTACAATCAACAATCAACGGATATTTCGAAAATTATCGAAAATCATTGAAAATTTGTCCACCCCTACTCCTGCTCATGGTAGTTCAAGATACAATGATGTCAAAAAGCAGCAGCAGCATTGTCTGGGATGAAATATATCTCATATGAATGTTCAACCACTTGATGAAGTGATTGAAAATGAGTAGAAATAATATACACAAACTTCTAATGAGAATGTGGTTGGCTTCTTAGAAATTGATACCCAAAACAAACACATCATAACAACAATATGATTTGTTACCAACATCTTGATAGCTAGACCTTAAACAAGGACTAATCTAGGAACTATAAACATAAATTAACCCTTATAACCCATGCAATTAATGATCAGCTATTGGAAATTTTATGATAAATCCAAATTTTCCATCTAGGCGCGCCTGTGCGTCTGTCGCCATCTAGAAAGAAACAGCAAAAAAAAAGAAAAATTTAGTTTTCCCTATATCTTCTCAACAATGTGAATCCATATGAAATAGATTTTATAGAGCATCAAATATTCTACAACTTTTTTATTTTCCACTTCCTTCTATCTTCAAGAGAAACCAAGATATTGAGCACTAAAAAAGCATATTGTTTGTCCAAACATGTAAAATACCCGACCAGGTTTGTTTTTTCTTCATCTGATGAGAAAATTTTTGAAAGATACATGAGTCTGTTTTTTTTTTCAATGAATTCCTGCCATTCCTAGAGTTATTGAAACATATTTTTTCTATGGTTATAACACAAAACTACTTTTGTTTTGATAAATCAAAGAGGTACTTTGTATGTCACCAATTTCATTTCCCTATCTGCTATCACAATGACTTCATTTTGTTATTATTTCCCAAATTAATATGTCATCTCCCATGGAATGTAAAATTTCTAGCAAGCATTACTCAAGAGGAAGTCAGATGGCTACAAGCTACAAGCCAAAGAAATAAAAAATTCACTGTTATCTGTTACAGCTGTAGAAAGAGTATAGTGTATAGCTTGCACAGAATGCTAATTTCCCACTTGTATGATTTGCAGCATTTGCCTGTGGCTCATGTTGCAAACTTCATACTCATGTGAATGAATGACTATCATTCAGTGCTCCTTAACCATTATACTATATCAACACCAAAATCATCAATGATGGTAACATTACATCAAAATCACTAATTATGATATAGCCCAACTTGTGAAAGTAGTCCAGCAATATCTATCTGGAAAGTCCTGAAATTTGGACAATTGCAGTCAGTCAGTATAGTTCCTTGTTGACTTTTTAGAATAAATAAATCATCCTTTATACTGAAATTGGCTACCTCCAGTTGTTTCATAAGCAATGGAAAGTGGTCTTCTCTAGTGAACCTGCTGGATGGTGGAAAATTGAAATATTGGTATTTTCGTTAAACTAATTCTTGCCCTATCTACTTATGCATATAAAATCTAATTTCAGCCACTCTGTAGCAAAAAATATATATTTTAATGATTATATTCAATTCATTTATGGTCTTCAGAACACCATCAATCATGATATTGTATACTGTGTACTATTTATGATCTTGTTTATGACTGATCTATAATTCCAGTATTATACCTACTTGATAAGAATGAAATAATACTACATATAAAAAACATGAATCACATCTTCCATGAATTTTCATGCTATAAAAAATTTACTGATATTTTCTGTGAAAAAACTCATTATAATCAATTAGGCATGTTTATGTAAACTCATACACTAATTGAAGACTATGTTTTTGTTGAGAACAAAATTGTAAATGAGAGATTGAAATATTTGATGTTCTGAAGAATTTGTTTGAGCTTTTTCCATTGGATCTAGATTTTGTTGTGATTCCTGTTGATCTTTTCAAAATAACAATCAGAACCTATCAGAATAATTTTGGTGCACTATTCACATTGGCCCATACACTCAGATTTTTATTGAACATTGAATACCTCATTCTCAGTCCTTATTGTTTCTAGTTGGTATAGGTTATCAAAAATCAATTTCATCTTTATAATGGATCAAATCAGTCCACCTGTCACTGAATAACACATTCAACTTTCAGAAACCTGAGAAATTCAAAATTCTTTGTGATATGCACATTCCATATTATTTATTCACATTTTCATAACCCTCTGTCATATCCCCTTTCCACCATTCACTATGGTGTCACCTGACTATACAAGGTGTCTTAGACCTAGGTATTGAAATAGATTTTTTTCAGGCTCCTGAAAGTTCATCTTGTTGAGGCAACAAATATTGACCTGAAATTATTAATCCCCAGAACTTTCAAGTTGTCATAAAATTGAAAAATATGAATTTTCTTTGACCTGCTCAATAAAATGAACATACCCTAATATCACCTAAATTAGCAGAGGCAATAATATCCGTCAGCTTGTGGAGCAAAACACAAAATGGGCCTTGAGAATCCAGATCTTGTTTGAGACTCAGCTGTAAAGAAAACACAATTATGAGCATAATACAAGAGATATACAATGATGCTGAACACACAATTTACGCACTTTGAATACCTCGAACCCATAACTTTCAAAGAACGTTATAAATTCCTGCCAATTCACTTTTTGGAGCTTTTTGTCGGACATCCAAACCGCTATCCGTTTATTGGGAGGCATATTCTATAAGATCAATCACACCATACTATGAAAAACTACAGGAAATCGCTTCTGGAGCATTGACAGCATTTTTCGATCAGAGGCTTTTTATCACATCATACATACGTTTGACTAAATACTTTTTATCGATATGATATAACACTAATTTCAGAGATTTTGATTTTGGAAATTAAAAAATGATTTTTTTTTAGGAAGTTAACCCAAACCCAGGTGTCCAAACAAGTGACAAATGACATGTGCCAAAGTGCCAATGCCAACTGAAAATCAACATTTTTAGTAAACTGACAGGCAGTATTGCCATCTGCATTCAAAAAATAGTCCGGCGATTAGGCATGAAATGTACCGTATTCCCATTTAAAATCCCTCTACCGCGTTCCATGAGATATAATGCGTTGGGGTGACGTCACTTGACCTCGATGTTCGAAAGATTCGCTGGTGTAGCTAGACGCTTGACCAAAGAGGAGAGGGGGATCTAACCTCTTTACGATACTGGGGCTGGAACGCATCTCAGCTGGCACCAAGAACCAAGTTTATCATTTTATATTTTCATTATAGCTTCTGCTCGTATCTTCGGGACATGGCAGAATATGATCGTAACAAAATTTACTCAAAGAAAAAATTTCATCCAGCTAGAATCAAGGTAGGTGTGATATTATTATGTTCATCGTTTTTTCATACCATGAAATTAAAAATGATCTCTCAGGAATCTCCTAGTCAAAACAGGAGTTTCTCTGGCAATAAGTCTGAAGGAAAATCAAGTAGAGAATCAACAAAGGATTCTTCCACTTTTGAAATCACTCCTAAGAAACAACCTACCATCCTCCTGAAAGCCAGAGAACCTACAAGTGATGATATTGGAACTACCTCAAAACGTAACACAAAAGAAGAACTCACAACTAATATTACTATACAACCTCCACTGAGAGATAATGAAGGTAAGATATTAGGCTGAAAAATTATTATTAAAAAATGCAGGCAAAGTGCACATAATTCTTGTTCAATAACAATTCCAAATTCAATGATATTGGACTACTGAAAGACCCATGGAAAGACCCAAATAAATGTACTCCAAATGGAATCTTTCCTTCTGAATTTTCATATAATTTCATGATAGGTTCATTACTATCAATTTCTGAATGTTATATTCATCATAGTGGTAATGGAGGTACAAATATATTATGATAGTCAATTATTATATGTTTAATATTTCTGAGGATATTTCATTCTTGATTTACAAGTATGTATGCTTGGGGTTATAGCTCACTAATTATTTCAGTTACTTCTGTGCCAACTTTGAGATGTATGACCAAATCATTGAAACTCATAGATGATGGCATGATTTGTACAGATTCCTTACAAGATTATATGAGTGAAAATAATGAGTTCCTCACAGTGGGTATTATTGGATCACATGGAGTTGGTAAATCTACCATAATGAATCTTCTCACCCAAAATCAAATAACTGAACAGATGAAGAATAGTATTTTCAAATTTGACAAAAAATTTGATGATCAAGATAATGATATAAGAATCCTAACAGATCATTTGGAAAAAGTTGAACTCAGAGATGAAAGTAAAGTGAACAGAGAAATTTTCAAAACACAGACTATTGATGATATAGAGAAAGCTATGAGCAGAACTCAAGGCATTGATATTTATATCACATCCAATAGAGTTAGTACTCATACCTCCACTCATACTATATTAATTAGAATAGTGATTGACTGATATGATCTTATATCTCCAGCAGAATGAATGAAGTATTTCTATGAGAGATGGTAACCAAGATTTTTGTTCCATATTATCCTGGCTAAAACCACATGGAATTGATAGATTACATGACCCACTACCCAGAAATCCAATTTTCAGACATCCTGCATGAAACATCTGATCTGAGCACATTTTGAAAAATGTCAACAAATCTGACTTAAGAGTGGTCTGATGTACAGTTGCCTACAAGTATATTACAGAGAGAAATTAACATTCTTCATGAAATGGGGCTATTGGGAATGATTGTTCACCAAATTATGTTGATAGTAAAGTTGTCATAGATTCTCAAAAACACAAAGCATTGGCTGAGCCAGTTTTACACAACTAGAACTAGGATCCCAAAATCCTCTCTTTTTAATACTTGTATGCTTTTTTATTGAATAAGACTAGGTGGAAAATAGCCCTGAGATACCAATAACAAAGTTTTCAGACACTGAGATTGTAACATACCCAGGAGACCATTAAAAAAACAAAATTACAGCATCCCATTAGAAAAATCAATTTTCAGAAAAAATACATGTAGCCTTAAATTTTTTTAGCATTTCAAACATGTCACCAAATATAACCTAAGTGAACCATAGCAATATATCTGAAATTCATCATCAATGATTGAAGCATGATTGAAGCTGATTGAATACATTAGCCAGATGTGGAAAATAATGTAGCATGTAACCAATCCGACAACTTTTCAATTTGCAGTACTCAGATATTTCAAATTGGTCAATACAGAATAGCCATCTTGCCCAGCAGCTGTGGAGAAGCAAGAGACAAGGAAACACATTAGTTGAAGTTTTTGACACTAGAGTATAGCAAGAGCCAGGGAGATTACCAGGCAACTCTGGTACATTTTTTCATTTTAGACAACAATCAAAATGTCTGAAATCTAAGAAGCCCTGGAAGGGACACATAAAATAAAAAAAATAAAAACTTCAAAATTCCGACTTATATCTCGGAATTTTAAAATTCCGAGTTATAACTCGGAATTTTACATCCAATATTCCGAGTTATAACACGGAATTTTAAAATTCCGACTTATATCTCGGAATTTTACATCCAATATTCTGAGTTATAACTCGGAATTTCAAAATACTGAGTTATAACTTGGAATTTTACATCCAATATTCCGAGTTATAACACGGAATTATAAAATTCCGAGATATAAGTGGGAATTTTAAAATTCCGAGTTATAACTCAGAATTTTGAAGAGTTTTTATTTTTTTTATTTTATGTGTCCCTTCCAGGCCTTCGTAGAAATCTTTTTACTAGCTTGCAGAAAAGGCATCTTTTCTGCATTTATTTTTAGTGTTGAAAGATTTCCATTTTCACACTAAGGACTAAACTTTCAACACTGAAATTAGTGCAGAAAAGAGGAAATTTTTTGTTTTTCAGCTAGCTAAGTGACTTTTCACACTTGTTAGGTGAACTATTATTTTCTACTAGCCTGTGGAAATGAGGAATTTGGGATTTTTTGGCATGCTAATGCTTCATGCCATATGCAATAGCATGTGGAAAAGAATCACTTTCTGCACTTGTTAGGTAAACTACTATTTTGTATTCTGGGCATCCATATGAGATATTTAAAACAAAATTGAACTGCTATGACAATTTTGAAAATACACTCAGGTCAAACCCTATGTGCATAATGTCTGAAAACACAAATTTTAGTGATGAAATTACATGTACATTCTCAATATCAGACAGGCTGTCATGTGACAGTCAACCAACTCTTTTTTACACATCAGAAATAGCTAGGGATCGACCGATACCGATATTTATATCGGCCTATCGGTGATATCGGCCTCATTGGCCGATTATCGTATCGGCCGATATCAAAAACCGATAGACTGATATATTTTTTTATTGGGAAAAAAATAAATTTGAAGAATGAATGAAAAAAATACACTTCCATCAAAAATATATCTTTATTACCGATAAAAAGTATGTAATGTAAAATCAACTAAATTCTTTGACTAGGAATTAAAAATTAATAAAATAAAACCCTATGCGAATTGCAACTGTAAGGTAAAATTATTTCACCTTACTAAAATACAAAAATAACTGATTAATACTGATAATTTAGTTTTGGTAGGTTGTGATGCAAAAACAATAAGCTTTCTGCCCTATCAGGAATATGCCAGCTACGATTTGCATCATAAATATTACCAGCTTCAGAGAAAACTTGTTAACGGCCGATAGACCGATATATCAGTATATCGGTATTTGAAATATCGGTATCGGCTAAAATTTCTATATCGGTCGATCCCTAGAAATAGCCCCCCAGGAAGAGTTACTTCTCACCAGTCTGCTCTAGGGTCATCTAATCTATTGATTTTACACGGTTTTGGTTACCTTATCTCCTACTATATGTATTTTTTTGTGCCAAACAGTGAGAAGAGAGTTTTTAATTTTTTTATTCTCCTATTAGTAGGAGAGCCGGCTGCAAAATTCGACCTTCATCTGATGATGAAATGAAATATGTCCCAAAGGCATATAAAAACATTGTATTTTATTGAACGGCAGATGTGCCAATCACTTCCATGAGCAAAATGATTGAAAACTGGCTCTTTCCTGTGCGGTAATTTGCGCTTAATTTCGCGATCTGATAACGAGATGAGAATTATGCCAATTGAATAGTAAATTTCAAAAATTTACCTGCCACTTCTCAATCTGAGCCAAATTCACGGCACTGCGATTTATTTGCTGCCATTTCTCCGAACATACTTCCGTCATGTGATAACGAGTTGAATCAACAAACAGATGGATATCCAAACGTGCCGCGATTCATACTGATCTAAGTTAGTGGCAGAGGGCAGAGCGTCAATATTTTCGAAAATATTTCGCCCCAGCCAAAGTTAATATCCGATGGACCAGTGTAAAACACATTTGGTGCTTGCACTACAAGTATTCAAATCCACATGATGAGTTTTACACTAGTCTATCAAATATCATCTTTCAAGAGGGGCGAAAAATTCTCGGAAACATTGACGGTCTGGCACTCTTTTTTTATATCTTGGAGCGCACGAAAGGAAATTCCTATTATGTTTGAAGAACATCGTGCGTACCTAGGGAGGATAGGGAGAGGAGGATTGTTTTTTCCAACTCTTGGAGGTTATGAGTTTTAGGGAATAGTTCCATTGGCAGAGAATTCCAAAGCTTTGACGTTCTATAAACGAACGAGTTTTGATAAATTATTGTTGGACACATTTCAAGATTGTCAATGAAGGGATGTGCTGACTGGGCTTGTCGAGTTCGTCTGAGTGGTATTGGTAGTGATGGAATGATAGCTGAGATTTCTGAGGATCATTTCTATAGAAAAGTGAAAGGTCGCCGACTTTCCTACGGTGTTCTAATGAAGTTGAAGTATTATTGAGTGTGGAATCACCCATCAGGCGGATGGCTCTTCTCTGGATGGAATCTAAGAACATCAGCATTTGTTTGGGTGATGAACCATATATGTGAGAACAGTATTCTGAATCTTACCGAATCTGTGCATTGTAGATCATGAGAAGCTGTTGAGGTGTGAAGTAGATTTTCGCATGGAATAAAAATTCTAGTTTTTGTGACGCAGCTTTCGCGACGGATCAGAATGATTTTTCCCATGGAAGAGTATTGCTGATGGAAATTCCCAGAATCTATATAGTGGTCTTGGTAGGGAAATAATGGTACCATACATTGATCAGGCATAATGAGTTTCGCCTTTCTAGAGAAAATACAGGATTGAGTTTTGGTGGTGTTGAATTCAACTAGTTTGTTGTTTCCCCAGGCTGTAATTTCACTGAGATCGTCATTGACAGCGTTCCCCTGCCTTCCTCCCAAGTTCTCAGTTTCCTGGGCAGAAATCGGAATTCTAGAAGAGATCGCAGTATGGAGAGAACTATCAACTGCCAAGCTGTGGATAGGACAAGTGGTTGCTGCCAACAGATCATTGATATGAAGTAGGAACAACGTTGATGACAATGGTATTAGACGATACTCTGTCCACACCACATGAAGCGATCTGCCGGAAAGAAAATTCCATAAAAGAAGGCAAACCTGGGGTAATTAGCTGTATGATGGTAGTTTGTGGAGGAGTCCTTGGTGGTAAACACCGTCGAATTCTTTCGATATGTCCAACGATACAGCTAGATATTCTCCATGTTTTCCTAATGCAGCTTGCCATATATGGGTGACGGCAAGTAAATCTCCAGTTGATCTTTGGTGGCAAAAGCCATTTTGTCTCTTATTAATGATTCCCGAGCTTTCCAGATACTTGATAAGCTCAATGTTGAGGGCTTTCTCCATCACTTTGGAGATGATTGATAGCAGGGCAATTGGTCTATAATTGTTGGGCAGGCTTTTGTTGCCTTTTTCGAGAATTGATTGGACTCTAGCTATTTTCCAGCAAGATGGGAAGATACCCGACATGTACGATATGGTGAATAACTTGCGGAGAATCGGTATCAATGCTGGTGCACAATTTCTGATAACAATAGGTGGAATTCCATCAGAACCGTCAAGACCGCCGACTAAGCGTAGCCTATCCAAACAAAAATCAAGTCGGCATTATATTTCCTCAGAGGCATTCTCCATAGACAATATGAGAGCAACGCCATCTGAGCAGAAAAGAAGGAGGTCTGTAGGTGCCTAGTGTGGCCTGGCTAAATCAAAATCAATAGGCATTCAGGAAATCACTTGTATCAGTATTCGTTTATACAAGTCGATGCATAGATTTCGGGAGGATATAATTCAATGTTCTGCTTGTTGTTCATTTTATGAACATTGTGTGCAAATGACTTTGAACTTTTTGTATCTATTCAACATTTCATTCTACTTTGAGCATTGTGGCTATCTCGTAGTTGTGATAGGATAATATTTGTTGGGAGGGTTTTTGTTTTCTTTGTTGGGGATTATTGGTTGGACTCTGGCTATTTTCCAGGTAGATGAAAAAAGACCCGACTTGTACGTGATGATAAATAATTTGCAGAGAATCGGTATCAATTCTGGTGTACACTTCTTGAGAATAATGGATGGAATTGCATCAGGACCGTTAGTATTATTCATTTTGAGACCGAGCAGAATGGGCCTGATAGTGCGTTGACGATTTCGTGCATTCCAGGAATGTCTAGCGGTACTCTTCGATGGGAATTTAAGGTGGCGTTTGCTCAGTTTGCTGTGAACATCTCTGCAAAATTTAGGTCTACGGAAGTATGTCCGGAATAATGGCAGCAAATAAATCGCTGTGCCGTGGAATTGGCTCAGATTAAGAGGTGGCACAGGTAGGTTTATTGAGATCTACCTCTACATTGGTATCGAATGGAATAATTCTTATCTCGTTATCAAATCGCGAAATCGAGTGCAAATTACCGCACAGGAAAGTGCCATTTCGCTCAGGATAGTGATTTACACAGGTGGCGTTCGATGAAATACAATAATGTTTCAACATGCCTTTGGAACATATAACATTTCTCAGATGACGGTCGAAATTTGCAGCCGGGTCTTGGACTATATAGATATAATTTTTCAACTGAAGAAGATTGCAAATATTTTTCCTAAGAAGATTTCCTCAAAAAAAAATGTTTTTCCAAATTACCATAACATGGTGATTTTCATGAAGAAAAATAATTCTATTATGTAATTACTTCAGTTTCCAAATATGGAAATATTCAAATAAGTCTTTAAATGGGCATAACTCTTGATTATTCACACTAACAAGATAATCCACCTCTATGTAAAATGTTGAAGCCAAATTTGGCCTGTCCTTGGCTGGTTCATAGGTAGTACTGAAATTCAAACCCTAAGTAGGCTCAAGGTATATACTATCGAATGGCACCATTGAAAAAAATATAGGAGTCAAAATAAGATTTGGGGCAAAACCCCCTTTTCCGCCCAAAATTCTGCCAAAAGTAATAAGTAGGTATCTCAAGATCTTTTTGGCGGTGACGATTTTGAAGGGAATTAGGATCAATTAGGCCACTTCGGAGGTCAAAACATGAAAGACATGGAGAATAAAAGTACCACTAACAATAATCAACAATAAACAAACGTGCATCACTTGGCATCACTGCTGTCGTTCGTTCTAATTTCGGCGACTCCTCCGTTAGCAAATTAGACTTTAGTCTCATATAGATACCCTCACCTACTGAATAGAATAATTCCTGGCTCCATTGCTGTCAAGCTCTCATAAGGATGGTTCATCTTGTTAGTGTAAAAATCACAATGGCCGTACTCAATTCCATTCAAGAACCACTTTTCAGATTTTTTCCATCGTATCATATCGTATTAGAGTTAGATAAGAGTTGGGACACAGACATTACAACAGTTCGTGTTTTTAAATTCTCAGATTTATTAAGTTACACACCTTGCATTGTGACAAAAGCACCATAATCGTTCTGCGCTTTTTCATTCAAAATTGTTTGAATTTGACAAAAAAATGTATGATCTTCAGAATTGAAATATAATTTCATAAATTATCAAGAAAAAAGCATAAATGAAAATGTTCTGCTGTGTGATGAACTGTGGCAATTCTGAAGAGAATGGATTTCATTTCTTCAATGTTTCAAAAGAAATATCAACAATTCCCTTATAGAAGGAATGTATATGAAACCGCTAGGATGAAAAATTAATTTCAAATCAAGCCAAATTTGTGAGGTACATAAATTGAAATTCACTTCTTATAACAGCAGATTAGAATGAAACTATATTTTAGGTCCATTTTCAAACGGAAGATTTTACAAGTTCGAGGGAATCTGCTGTTCCATTAGTTTACAAAACAGACTATTTAAAAAAATCCAATATTATCATCACACGAAATGCAAAACAAAATTATCATTGAAAAAGAGGAATTGATTGCAAAACTACGTAATGAAATTGAAAATTTGGGAACGAAACTGAGGCAATCATGTAAATTGCAACGTAAAATATCATTGAATGGCGTTCTCAATACCGTCCAAATTTAAAATGTATCACTGAAAAGTAAATGCAGCAAATGGTGGAAAATCAAAACAATCTTCATCTTTTGAACTTTATCACACGGGTACAGTTTTACATACAATAAAGAACTATAGCTATAAGTATATCAATATGTATCGCTATAAATTGAAGTGGGTGTTTATACCCTATTTTTATTTTACATCTACGGCTACGATCGATTTGACAGTAAATCTAACCTCTAAAATCGTATCTGACAATCAGGCGCTACTGGGGAAATTTAAAAGACAAAGAGCAGAATATAATTATTATGTCTTATTGTTTTATTGTCACAAACCATTGTAATATTGAAAATAGAAAAGGTCAGAAGTTCAGCTGTGTCCGAACTCTTATCCAACTAATACCATCCAGTTTCTCTAGTGGTACCTAGTCAAATTATTCATGTCAAAATATATATAAGATACCCAAAACTGAGTATCTTGAAGATCTAAGACCTCATGGGTATCACCAGAGAATTTTCACACATTATATACATATCGGTCGATCACTTCTAATAATGACATGAAATAAAATTATTGTTCAATTTTCTCAGTTGATATTATTGGATTGTCAACCCTTTGCATCAGTGTCTCTGTTGGAAGATCTAATAAAATCAGAGAGCAAACGAACAAATTTGGTTAGTGAATTCATTCCATTGGAAAACAGTGGTGAAATTCAAGGTTTGCAGTTGACCACTTTTCTAATGTCAGTTTGTCATGTGCTGTTGCTGGTAGAGGACTGGTTTCTTGACAGCAATATAGTGAGGTATGTAATAATTTGTTTTTGCTACCTACATGAGGGAAAATAGTGCACTTGCTTGTGTACTTCATCACGTCTTTTAACAAATTTTTAATTGATTTTAATTTTTTTATTTTGCAATCATTTCTACTGTGAAATGAAAAATAAATAACTTCTGAAATCCAACAATGGAATCGAAATTGCAATATTAGAGATGATTCATAACACTGGATAGAAACATTGGAATAGCATTGTTTGCATAATTTATTACTCATTATGGATCATATGGAATCAAATACTTGAATTTCCGAATGTGGTATAAATAAGTAAGATCACAATTGAAACCAGTATACGGGTGTTTTTCAAAAGTGGTTCTCCCCTATAACTTTTACGTTTGTACAGATAAACAAATGAAATTCGGCATGTAAGTATAGTAGATGAATACCTATGCATTTTTTTATGTGTTCAAATATTTTGTCAGTCCAGGTTCGACCGGAAATAGCCCTTACTTGTATATTTCGAATGAAACACCTGATGAATTCTCAGAATTCTCCGTAAACAGTACGCTTCTCTTGATTACCGCATTCACACGTAACATATAAAATGTTGTTTATTGAAATCTAGTCATTACTTTTGGCACGGGAAATAAAAATCTTGTGCATAAAATGTTGTATGCATCACGTGCGTAAAATGCGTTTATGGCCTTCAGCGTGTAATGGCCCTCGGCTATCGACATCTGGCCAATATTCAGGCACAAGCTTGACTTCAAAAATAATAATAATCACTATTCTGTACAAGGTGGACATGAAATTGAGGAGTTCCGAACTCATTTTATGAAAATTTATCTGAAGGAAACTTCCCCATTGCAACAGCTCTGACTTTCATTCGTTTAGCGTATTGCATATATGCATTATTATATAGAGGGTGTTACCAATTAAGTGCAAAACATTCTTAGAGTGATTTCTTGTCATATTTGATGACAAAAAAAAAAAAAGATCTAAACATTTGTCTTCAAACTTGGTCGCTTTGGTGTTGAAACTGTTGAAAGTGCATTTGCAATAGAAGAAACATCTAATTTTTGTTATGTATGTGTGGTACCATTTCTTATAGTACCTAGTAATATGTATTTATCTTCGTTGAAATTGAAATTATCAAAGGTAATAAAAACTCGTTCATTTGGCAAAAAACATGTAAACAAACCGATTTATAAGATTATCGTTATTCAATCCAAATTTGGTTTGTTTGAAATTCAAAGAAAAACATTTAATCATGAATATTATTTTTTTCATCAATTGAAAAAGAAAACAATTTACTTTCCATCTCTAGCAAATTTCACAAATTGAAACAAATTTGCTTACTTTTATTCAATAAGCGGCTCTGAATGTGATGTAATGTGTGTTGCTTACATAGTTTTCTCTGCCAATGATGTATTTTGATTTGACGAATGCCAAATTGGTTATTATCTGTTCACGTTAGTCCCGAGGGATTAAATTGGTAACTTTTTCAATTGTTTGGAGGAATTGAAATGCATACATGTGATTTTCAGATTTATTCAAACTGCTGAAATGTTGAAACCAACAATTTCGAATCCAGAAGATGAACTAATGGACCATTTCCCACATTTACTGATAATTCACAACAAATCTCAAATGGAAGATTTTTCCCCTGCTAAATTTAGAACTATCCAACAAGTGAGTTTATTGAGTTGTTAATATTTGCTGTGAATTTTTAATCATTCCCCACAATATTCAAATTCAATTTTTTTCCTGAAACACTGTTTTTTACTGCTATCAAATTCAGTGAGAAAACATTTTGCTACTTATCTAATAAAAATAATAGTGCTTTTTTAGGCTTATAAAATGTTGTTTCACAAAACAAAACTGAACCTAAAATCTGATTTGGGAATGGGCACTGGAGGACTGATTAATTATTTGAATGGTGAAAATTGTGGCAGTCCCATAAATTTGTTTTTAATACCAGAAATCATTCCTAATTCTAGTAAGTACTTTCACCATGAATTCATCAGTAGCTATTAGTTTACGTTGTGTTGCCACTTACTTTGCCGATTAACATTGTGTGAGGTTGGGTTGAGTTTTTTGTGTTAAAATTAGTTTATACACGCCATTCTTCTCATGTTTTCGAGAACCAATCAAAATCTCATGTAGGCGAGTATTCAGAAGTCGAATACAAAAACTATTTTTTCCTTTTTTTGCACCTTACCTCCATAGGTACTCATTGTTAACGTTTCAGTACAAGATTTAGTATTTTATTTGGTTGGCAAAACTTCATAACAATTATACGATTCAGTATTTCTATTTGAGTACCTTTAGTATGGGCTCCCCTAGACCCCTAGAGGTTATAATTCACTTTATAGTCCACTTCCTTTCATGAAGTCGGTGTTTCAATGAGGTGAGATTTTCCTGAAGTTGGTGGGTTCCAAGTTGAAAAAAAAACAAGTGAGTGAAACCTTAGTCATTCTAACTAAGAGCATGAATATAATATACGTATTCAGTCCAATATATTCTCTTTTTGGCGAGGGTGTTGCCATTCTTGTTGCCCTCCACCTCCTGGTGTCTCACAGCATAGTAATTATGTTCCATTAAAGCTTGGACTTGATCTTGCTGAACCTCAGTGATATCTCGAATTTATTGTTTAATACAGGACTGTTCATTTGAATGCTTTGAACTTGACCTGTTTGACCGCCTGCACCGATAATGCCATACGATAAAACGTCGTAAAATTGTCATAGTGGGAAATTTTCTTATACAATATGCAATACTGAGGTATTGAAAGAATAAACATATGCAATACCTGAATATTTCTATTGCACTTAGTCAAATACATCAATATTCTTGGTGCAATAGTGAGTTAAGCTGGATATCCCATATGAAAATAGAGGGTGTAAATCTAAACCTAAATTCTATTCAAAACTATTTGTACAGACGATAATTTCAAAGTTATTAATGTAACCCACAAAATGAGAGCAAAACGTGTATTAACGCTGGAAGATGTAGAACTGAAACCAACATACAGCACTCCACCTACTCTCGGAATAAACAAGAAAAATTATCTAACATCTATGTGCAATAAAAAACTGATCCATAAGAAATAACATGTTCTTTTTTACAGAAATCTACTATGATCTTCGAAATGCACAGTATGTGCAAAGTTTATATTTGTTTATTGTTTCCAATGCTTTGTTCAGAATCATGTTCATGATTTTAACATTATGAGAAGTTGAACCATACCACAGTTAAAAAAGTGTGTTTCAACGAGAAAAAGTCGTCTACAGGTTTAATGGCGAAAGGTGCAGTCAAATTTGCTTCATTACTTTTATTAGACATGTTTCGACCATTCAAATGGTTATTGTACTAATGAAGTTGATGTGGAATTGACTATAACAGCATGAAGATGAAAAAGGATTCACTTAGTTGAAATTACATGATTAAATCAAAAATTGAAAAACTGTTTTTTAAAGGTTTTTTTTTGGGGCAAGGCAGAGCCAATCACTCCGAAAATACACGATCTGTCTGTTCTCAAATGCCGAGGTCTTTGAATTTTTGGAGTGATTGGCTCTGCCTTTCCACATAAAAACTTTCTAAAGATTTATTAATTGTGATCGAAATGTGATGGTTGTAAATAAAATAGTATACAAACCTCGGTAGGATGTTTCATTCCTGTCTCGAGGTCATAGCTAACTAATCTCACGACAGGAATGAATCTCTTTCCACCTCGGTGTGTAATATACTACAGTGCAGACTCGATAATCCGAACTAATAAAAACCAAGGCGATTCGGATTACCAAAAAAATCGGATTACCGAAGCAGTTTTTTTTTCAAATTTTTTATTACGAAATGCAAAAAAACATAAATACGAAAAAGTAACACTAAAATATGCATAAAAGTAAGAATATAATACTAGTTTCTGAAGTAATTTGTAATTTTTGTTTGCTTAGCACATCTTTGATTATTTATAAAGGCCATTTCTTTTAATCTTTGAAGTACAAGAATATCATTTAACGGAATATTATTTTCTTCCTTGCGTAATGTGAATCCCAGATACTAACAAAAGAACAATTAGGGGAATCCCTGAACAACTCACAATTTATATAGGAAATAAATAGGCCTAAAGGTATAGGTTCGGATTATCGAGTACTATGAAATTCGGATTATAGAGTACTCAATGTATTAAAAATGCTTGCTCGGACTACTGAAGAATTCGGATTATTGAACGTTCGGATTATCGAGTCTGCACTGTATTACCAATATTTCTGTTTTTTCGTATATCTCCGGAAGTACTTATTCAGAATTAGAAAATTTTCTCGACGGCATATTTTTAGTCACATGAATGCGCAAGTTTGTCCTACTTTAACCATCTTCGTACCTTCTATAGTTTCCGAAATCCCAATGGTGGCCCTCGAATTTGAATTACTCAGTATATAGTCCGAAACTTGTACAGATAATTTATTTGATCATTAAAAGTTATGGAGGTGACTTGGTGTATCTTGTTCCTGAATCATATTCAGTATTCACTCCACTTTGAAATGAAATAGTATGGACACAGTTGTATGGACTCAGATTAATGATATTTGAAGTATTCCCACTATGATATTTTGATTGGTTCAGACCACCACATAAATTGGTAACTAGAACGCTAATGCCATAAGATCAAAGCTCATCCGTTTACGAGATCGTAGTTTATTTAATAGAGCGTGCGCATTCAGGACCTGTCATGCCTTACTCGAAAACCAGACATGACGTCTTCAATGACAGTTTGGGAGTTCCTGCTCATTGAGCAGAACTAGCAAAATCATTTTCAGATTAAGAATTTGAATGGGATTTTCGGGTTGAGAGGAAAAGAAATATTATCTTGGACATATAGCGGTCTAGATAGTAGTTATGTTAGTGGTTGAGACATAAGGCCTGCTGTTCCTTTGTCATGCTCACCCTGCTAAAAAGTGATGTGAGCAATATTTGATGTTTTTGTTCCCAGCAAATGATGATTGTGTTCGTTAGACTGGAGCATGTTGTCATAGATCACTTGAAGCAGGATTTATTTGTTCCGCGAATTTTCAGGGAGCAGAAAATCAGATAGGATTTATCAAGTTGGATGGCAAATGAAAACAAAGAAAATGGCGAAAATGCAACAATTATATATATGAATATAGCAAAAACAATTAAAATTCTTAACATTGCCAAGGTGATAGACGCGAATTCGGACATCTTCCTCGAGTAATGCCAACGGTTTTATCATTTTAATCATGCACTTATGAAAACCAAATCCAAACCAATTTGGAAATTACTCAGATAAGGCCATGTTCAGATATGATTTGTGCTACTACTTTGTCTTCGTTTGTGTTGAGCAGTAAATCAAGCTTTCTGTTTGTTTGAGTTGAGCAAGAGATTAATGTTCCTACTGGATCATAAAAATCAAATCAGTGACGTCAGATTATTTGATCTTCATGTTTTTTGAGCATGTTGAGCTTTTCAAACGAACTAGCATATACATAAATGACTGAAATTAAGTTTCTATCGGTTGTCAGAAACGTCAAGAAATAATCGCGACAACAGCTGTAGTTGTGTGACTTTCATTTTCAGACCAAATCTATTCTGGCCACCCTCCTCTGGAAGAAATAATAAAAAAATTGAGGGCCAATATCTGGGGATCATCTCGCAATCCTTTGACACACGTCCAACTGACTGAGAAAACTTGGCTTGTGTATTGTGCCAAGGTCTGGGATACTGTGAAGAAAAGCTCTTTCTTTGTTGAGTATACGAAACTGATGCCTTGAAAAAAAGAAAAGGGACACAATTGAATAAAACATGCTCTCAATTTTGATTGTTGATATGGAATGGAATACTGAAAGAGAAGCTGATGAAGAAATCTCATTTTGTTGGAATATAACGCATTATATTATTGTATTCAATTTCAAACAAAATGAAGACATGAGAGTAGAAAATGAAATAACGGATCAAAGCAGGTCAATAAAAATTCTATAGGTTTGTTATCGTCAACATTTTTTTTTTATTTCAACAAGCAATATTTTGAAACAAACATAGGAACTAATAAACTATGCAGTAAATCAACATAAATATAAATTATTATGCGAAATCAATGAAACAGTTCAAATTTGATTTATGTATATTTTCCAAACTAACTAGCAGAATTCATTATTTAGCTACTTTGAAGCAATACTATTGAATAAAATTGAATTGATTCATGATAGAAAATAAGCTGTCAAGCAGCCTGTTTACCCAGTTCACATTTGGTTTTTGGTTGTGCTTAGCTATCAAATCCATAAATACAAACAAAGTGTTTTGAGTTATTTTCTATCACGAATGAGTGCTGAAATGCTTATTCAAATATTTAATATGGAAAATATACTGAAATATTGCACATTCCTTACATAAAACAACACTACAATGTTCTTACAGTATTTTATTGTCTGAAATAAAATCTATAGACAACATAAAGGGTTTCCCACCTAATACCCCTAATACACCCTTCTCATCTACTAGACCAACAGAAAAACTGAAATCACTGCATTCTCATTTCGATGGAAAACTAAGCAAACACGTTGTGTTGTCACCCCATCACGACTAGAGTCCCTGTATATACCTTGTCTAAGGTATATACAGGGACTCTAATCACGACAAACGACCTGTGCCACCATGCTTGTGATAAATATAATGATATTGGAGGAAATTCAATCACAAATACAATGGTATTATGTGATTGACATCATCAGTGAAAGTTATAATCAATAAAAGTTATTTACACTACAAGGGAGGCAAGTGATACTTACCAGTCGAGGACATTGTTTGCGCCCGAGCGATAGCGAGGGCTTGCAAAATAGTCCGAGACTGGTCAAGAACACTGCCTCCCGAGTTTTGTATTATATTTTTTCTACTCCAGTTCCCTTAGATTGAAAAAAAATGTTTTTTCTGTGACGGGAAAAAAGTTTGGCATTTCATCTCTGTTGGCAGGTTATAAAATGTCACTTTTCATAAATTACTTTTTTCCCGTGGGAAAAAAGTGAGTACTTCTTTCCCGGATATATATCACATATATATACTCTGTTAATGGCTTTTGTTGTGCTATAGTTCCGAAAAATGAGTCAATAATACCGTCTCCGAGAAAGAACTGCAAGACCTTTTATCTTCCATTCGACTTCGCGGTTTCGTATATTACTAAACAACTACTGAATTCGCAATTTTTTAAAATCAAATCACAAAATTGAACTGACAGAAGTGACATCAGATATTTGATTACTTCAAAAGAATGATGAAGATGTCTATAAAACGCAGGTGTCCCTACTGTTGAAAACTTGAAATTTCACGTCGATAATTTTCACATTTCGAAATAATGTAATATCTTCTCAATATTGATTCGTCCTTCCTTCTGTCACAGAAAAAAATAGTGTATTATACACGGGAAAAATATTAGATTTTAGCTCACGGTTTTTTGTCTCCCTCCGCTACGCGTCGGGAGACAACACAACCTGGAGCTAAAATCTACTACTTTTTTCCCTTGTATAATAAATAACTATTTTCAATTACTTATATAATTTGACTAATCTAACTGAAAAACCCTGTATGTATGACAGGTTTCCTAGTGTTACACGTTGATCGCTATGGAATTCATATTGTTTATAATCAAACAAATGTTCTGTCAGTGTCATTTTATTAAAAAAATCGAAATAATGGATATCGATGCAGTTGCGAATGCAGCTTGTGCTGCTCTATTACCTCAGAAATCGAAGGAACGGTACAATCGGTGTTACAAGGACTTCAAGGCTTGGTGCAGTAATATTGCAAGTGGTGAAAGCATTACCGAGAACTCTTTGCTGGCGTACTTTGTAGAGAAGTCACAGACCCTAAAGTCCCCTGCAAGTTTATGGAGTGAGTATTCGATGCTAAAATCGACGTTATCCATTCAAGACAATGTAGACATTTCCAAATTCCTTAAACTAAAGGCGTTTTTGAAGAGAAAAAATGATGGCTATAAGCCAAAAAAGTCTCAAGTTTTCACGCGAGAAGAAATAGAAAAATTTTTGACAGAAGCCGACGATAGAAGTTTTTTATTAAAGAAGGTAGTGATGGTCGTCGGGATTGCTGGAGCATGCCGCTCACAAGAATTATGCGATCTGAGTGTAGAGAATGTCCAGGAAATGGAAAATTTAATTATAATCAATATACCTGATTCAAAACATGGTACATCTAGAAGATTCACCATCACTGCAGACAAAGACAGTAAAATCTGCCATTTAAACATTTTTAAAAGATATCTCAAAATAAGATCGTTGGTTGAAAGACCCCAACAACGCTTTTTTTTGAGATACCAAGAAGGCAAATGCTTGAATCAGCCTGTGGGAAAGAACACTTTTTCAGCTTTTCCCACAAAAATAGCAAAATTTCTCAGACTGCCTAACGCTGAAGCTTATACCGGCCATTCGTTTAGAAGAACGTCTGCCACATTTTTAGACGGTTGCTGAAGGTTATGTTGCTGATAGTCTTTGCAATAAGAACGAGGTGGCAAACAAAATTCTTTATAACAAGAATAACAGCGATTCAAATTCATCTGCTATTCATCTGCCTACCACATTGACCAGCGCTGTAACAAGAATTTCTGATAACATAAGCACAACAGTAGAAGTGTCCAAACAGCTGCAAGAGGTTTCCCCACATTTTTCAAACTGTAATTTTTCGAATTGTACTATAAATGTTAATTTAAAATAAAGAGTTCAATTTTTAGGTTAAATTATGAAGTTTATTTAACTTGCTTCCCTAGGGAGGTAAATATTTACTTACCTCCCTAGGGAGGTAGAACGTGTTTTCCTCCCTCAAATCAGTATCAAAATGAAGTACTTACCGAGTAAGGAGTAGAAAAAAGTTATTGTCATGCATTGACCCAGAAATATTGACTGTGTGAATATATTGATGAAAACCGCAAGTCAATATACAGGTTCTTCTTTAATGATATGCGAATATTCAAGTTTGAGAATAAATAAGAAATTGATGTCTCCGAAACCGCTTGTGATATTCAATTCGTAGTGAAAATTTATAAAGTCGCATGTTTTTCAATAGGACATAGTTTTCAGCTTCAACAGTGGCGTACGTACGAGCACTAACTGATACTTTCAAAAACAAAAATAGTACAATAGGTAATGGTTTTTTATCAAAAATGATTTCTGAATTCTTCATTCAATTATTTGAAAAGTAAGAACCTACTCTCTTGAATTTTTTCTGCGATGTGTCGTTTTCTGAGAAAAAAAAGGAGAGGTACATATTACGTTTTTAACTGAGAATTGGTCGTTCAAATCTTTTTTCTGTGAACATCCAATTATTTTGAAAATCTTGTAAAACTTCCTGTGTTTTCGATTTCGAAACCATAGTTCACGAAGCTATAGAATCACACCCTTGAATAGGTATTCACACATCATCAAGGAACATCCTGTATTGGACAATGGGTCAAACTAGTAACCCGATATATAAGTACCTGATATAAATTATCATCCACTTCTAACCTAAAATGCAACTGAGGTAATTTCTGATGACTATTTTCTCGTTTCAATTTTTATATTTTTAGCTTGTAGGTATTTGAAACCGCCTCAACTTGTATCCATTGAGCTATTTACTATCGTGAACGAGAGAGAAGGAAGTTCTCTCTTCTATTTTTCTCTTCAATGCTGTCAAAGATCTGATCATATTAAACTTATAAATGGAACCTAGAAAGGGTAGAAGGGGAGGAATTGAAATGAGATGCATGAACCAACATGGCGTAACTAATTCAGGTTGGGTTAGGTTGGGATAACAATTTGCGATGCCATGCCTCATAATCAACTGTATTATAATATCAAGTCAATGAATAGAAGTGCTGGATGTAAACTTAATTTTACCTCTGAAAACTGTAAATTATTTCGATAATGACCGATTAATCCAATACGTTGATATTTCCAATCCAAATAATCGTGCTCAGAGCTCACAGCGTTAAAGAAATATGTAGAGATTTAACCATTCAATAAACCGTACTATAATCCAAGCATCTAGTCTGTGCCGCTGGAATATTTTCTATGTGAAATATGTCTTCAATAATTTCGACCTGTCATTTAATTCTAAATTAAACTCTTTTCTAGCTTCAAAGACTGATCCTTGCATGAATAACAAATAGAAAAGCAATGCTAGTTTTGTTTTACGCTAAATTGAACTTGCGCATATCACGTGATCGGCTTGGAAAACTTGGTTGATGAGTATGCGCAGTGCGTATATCATACTGGGTAATTCTAAACACACCATTATCGTTACAAATGCAATATGTCCTATGACAGGAAAAAAAAACAGTGGGCATACAAACAAGCTCCTCCAAGATCGATAATGGGTCTTTCCAGTCATTTCTAGAAAAAATGTATCCCGAAATATATGTCTCTGGGATACCTAGCTTGAAATATTTTTTCGAGATTTTTTCCATCAATGCATTTTTTAGTAAAATTATTGAAAACGCCAAAATGAACAAGCGAATTCAAACGATCAGACATGGCCGCGAAACGTGTGACGTCAGTGCACTACCAATTTGAATTGGTGATTCTCTCACCTTCTCGCGGATGCCAATAAAATGCACAATGAACTTAACAATATTGCAAATTTCGACAGAAACCTATGAGTCAGATATTCATTCCTCGCCTTTTTCATTTGAGCAAATAATACAGATACTGTTAGATAACTCAACTAATAATTACTTACCTGAAAATTCGTGGTACTGAAAAATTGCATTGCATAATCAGTTAGTAGGTTGATTTCTGTTGGAGTATTATTATTATTATAGTGAAATTTCATTTTTTATTGAATTATACAGTTCAGATATTCATATCATTTAGTTTTAAATTCCTTCCAATGAAGTACTTTCAAGTTTAGGTATTTACCATAGGCAAAGCAACAAATTCTAAATCAATAAAAACTAAAATTGCTTATTTGGTTCTATTTGTATTGATTTTAGTACAAGCATCACTGCCTTCTTGTCAATAATATTCAGAAATAAGAAAAGTGAAGTTATGTGGGGAATGAGATATTCATCTTGGCAACATTGAGTTGCTTCATCTCTTTCTCTTGTAGACGTTACCAGATTAGCAATGAAATTTTCCGAGAATGGGTACTTGAGATATAGTAACATTGTTCAATTTGTCAACGAAATTTCAGTAATGAACTGTGTAGTTGGATGATCTGTGGTAGCACTGAAGAGAAAGATGGAAGAAAATGTTCCTGCCTCTCGTTCACACCAGTGAAGAGCTATAGATAGAGGTATATCATATATAAAAGGCCATATTCCAAATTTAATTCTTCAACACATCATTTGATGCAAAAAAGTGACATTAGATAATATTTCTACTAGTCACTTGAAAACAGTATGGAGCAACGGCCTTTTTCTAGCATGAATAGGCTTATAAGAATGCTGATAAACCGTAGCCAGTCTCCAATGTTCGGGATAATCCTGCCTCTTAGCCTTCTGCAAAGAAAAAGGCGGAGCTAAACTATCAATAACATAGTTCTTTAGCATATACGGATCTTTTTGTTTTGGAACCCTTAGCGGGTACCTAGATCTACTTACTGTTTTATGGGGTACACCAGCCTTGAATGCCATCTTGTACTCAGATTTCGGTCTCCTTTCTTTCAAAGACATATTTTTTAGTTCACAGGCGACACACAGTTTGCTGTTCGAGACATTTTTCAACTTTCTGTGACAGGTTTGTTCACTACACTTGTCTTCACTTAGGTTAGGAGTGCTCCTGTGAATTTTGTTTGCAACTACTAAATGATTATTATTCTTCTCCTTTGAAAAATGAGATTCCTTCTCAAACTCGTTTAGATTTTGCGCGCTCTTCACTCGTGATTTAAAATTACCAACACTTTCTGTAGAATTAACTGATTTGTTATCATCATAAGCACTTTTCGCTCTTTTTTTAAGTAAACTCCCTTTTGATCCGCCGCTATCTAAACTTGGTGCTTTACTTCTGGAACGATGAAAAATATACTCCTTCAATTCATTGCCATTGTTACCATGATGAAATAATGGCCCACAGCCGTGTATTCCATCACACTTTTCTTCATTTTCTTCGCCTTCCTTAGGGGTATTCACTAGACTGAATACAGCTGGTGCTGCAGAACCATTCGAACCATCAATGTGTTTGGGCCTCCGCGGTTCGTTCTCCGGATTCTCTGGACACATGTCCCAACAGATGGCAAGGTCCATTGGTGTAACTTTGCTTTGTCTGAGGAAGCGCCATTTTTTGTCGAAGCTAGAGATGCTTTCGTCGCCATCATTTATATGGCCGCAAGTTTTTGGTCTGTAAATTTTCATTTTGGTGCATCTTGTTGGACCGTAGCCTGGATGGCCCTTCCATCCCACACCTGAAATAAGTCATCATTATTTCTGAGCTGATATGACAATTTTGATACAAAGAACTATTTCAACTGGCGCCTCTAGTGGTAGAATTTGAGGCAGCCTGACAATGACAAGAGCATTCAGGAACGGTTAAAAAATTGGAAATCTGAATTTATAATCATTTTATAAAAAAGTAGAAGAAACCCATAGTTTTGATGACAATTTCAATATTTTACTCCCTAGAAAATAAAGGAATGAGACTTTACTATTAAAATCATTAGAAATCAACAAATAATCCCAACATTTTAATCAATGAGTTAGACCTCAACAATTCACTACTTTATAGGAAATATTTGTATTACTCCTTTCAGGTTTCTCCGTCACACCGATTTCAATGTAGATATTGTACACATTTCCCGGATAGAAGGTTCAAGTAGCCTGCACGTAGGTAATTCATTCCATTGGGTCCATTCTTTATAACTTACGTATACGGGATGACAACCAGTCAGGGCGTCATTCTGTTATTTTCAATGTTAGAATTTTGACATTTAAGTATATCGAAGATATAGTTCCTTGAAACCTATATCTTCCATGAAACAACAATTGAATATCACTTTTTATTTTCCCGCATGCTCTTTCACTAATGAATTTCTAATTTGGAATTTGAGGTTTTATGCATTTGCAATCGAATAACGAAAATTACCACGAACCACCCAGTATATTCTTCTGGAATTTGGTACACAAGTCCTCCTTCGACTAACCTACCAGTTGTAAAAATTTCACAAACGATAAGATTTCCATTAAATTCTCAATCACACGTCATGTTTCACTAACACAATAGATTCATCTGGTGAAATACTGGTACAATGTCAATCAGTCAAGAGAAGAATCCAGGTCCGGATTAACGAAAATTGATCATATATCTGGGCCGGTACAATGTCACCTATCAGTCAAGAGAAAAATTCAGGCCTGGATTAACGAAATTTCACCTATCAGTCAAGAGAAAAATCCAGGTTCGGGTTAACGAAAATTGATCATATGTCTGCAGGGACCGAGTCTGGGCCCCAAAGCAGAACACCCTGTATTTTCGAATCTCCATAATTCGCTTACAAATTTGAAAAGTGTATAAAAAGCTGGGTCGAATTTTGTTTTTTTGTTTTTTAGTGTGTCATATTTCAGTATAACTATTGATTGCCTACTTATGTATTTGTGGCAAGACATTGAACGAATCAATCAACAACTTAAATAAATTATCCCGCAATATCTAACCCCTAAAAACAAGAGGCATAGTGTGTCGAGCATTCATCTGTAGATACTGATTTATACAGGGTGGCCATTTGAAAATGAAATAGAGCGAATCTTGGGCACCCCAGGTCATATCTCTTGGAACGCACGAATGGAAATTCCAATAATGTTCATAGAATATCGTGGGTACCTAGGGAGGATAGGTATAGGTGTTGGATTTTAATTTCAGAGGTTATATAAGTTCTTGGGAATACCTCCATTGTAAAAGAAACCTGTGAAAATTGCATGTTGAAGTCCAAATTGAGAGTTAAAAACGCAAGATTGATCATCAAGTCCAACCATAAATTGAGTGTTTTCTATCAATTTACATAGGCCACATATTTTTTTTATCTTTCGGGAATATAGGCCTTAGCCTTCAGGGCTATCCGGCATAATTTTGATACTTTTGACTTTGACATAGACCTCACGCTCTAGTTTCAACTGGTGAGATAAAATGTCAGCCCTCGCCATTGTTACAAAAATTTCCTTTTTCTTTAATAGAACAATGTGAAAATTATGCCACGCCGGTTTTTTGTACTTTTCGTGAGCCACTGTATGGCCCACGTATCCAATATCCAATATATATCTTCTGAATTAGATATTCGACCCCTATCTTTCCATAAATGACCTGGGGTTTTCGTTTTCAATAAAAGCTACCCTGTATGTTACATACTTCAATGTCAATTCGAAAAGTACTAAGAGAAGAGCCGGCTGCAGATTTCTACCGTCATTAGATAACGAAATGATATATGTCCCAAACGAAAGTAAAAATATTGTAGCTAATCGAACGGCACCTGTGCCAATCACTATCCTGAGCAAATTATTTAAAAAATCGCACTTTCCTGTGCGAAGATTTGCACTTGATTTCGCGATTTGATAACGAAATAAGAATTATGATATCCGATACCAATTGAATGGTAGATCTCAGAAACCTACCTGGGCCACCCCTCAGTCTGAGCCAACTCCACGGCACGGTGATTTATTTGCTCCTATTATGTCGGACATTCTTCCGTCATGTGAAAACGAGTTGAAACAAAAAGCAAATGAAAAGAAAAAATGTCCCTTTTGCGAATATCCAAACGTGCGGCGATTCAAACTGATCTATGTTAGTGACAGAGCGTCAATATTTCCGTGAATATTTCGCCCTCGTCGGAAGATAACATCCGATGGACCAGTGAGAAACTCATGTGGTGTTCACAACACAAATATTCTAATCCACATATTGAGCATTACACTGGTCCATCGGATATTATCTTCAGAGGGGAAATATTCTCGGAAGTATTGACGCTCTGCCACTAACTTAAATCAATTTGAATCGTGGCACGTTTGGACATTCGCAAAGGCGACATCATCCATTTATTTTATTTTCTTTTTCTTTCAACTCATCATATGACGGAAGTTTGTTCGGAATAATAGCAGCAAATAAATCGCTATCTGGTGGATATGGCTCAGACCGAGGAATGGCTCAGGTGATTTCTGACAGAGTGAATTAGCGTGAGATCACAGTTGAAAGAATTATTATATCAGTTGCCTCAGTCTCCGTCGGGCGTTTGGTATTTTCTTTTAACTATGGCGAGATGAGGTTTCTATGTCATAAGAGGGTCCGTTTTCAGAAGGTACTATTATTTATGTCCAAAAATAAAACATTCCAGTTAATGTTTCGATCGAATTATGTCGTCAATCATTATTTATGTATAAAAGGATCATTATAAACATGGTTTGAGTTAAAAGTTCTACTAAGGTGTACACGCCCCTTATCTCGTCATCAAATCGCGAAATCGAGTGCAATTTTACGCACAGGAAAGTGCAATGTTGCAATCATTGTGCCGTTCGATAAACTACAATGGTTTTACATGCCTTTCGGACATATTATATCATTTTGTTATCAGATGACGGTCGAAATTTGCAATCGGCTCTTGGACTATTACTTTGATGGTCTTTTTATTGGAACTGAAATACACGCCTGTGGTAAAAGGTTCATTTTCCAACTCAAGTCCTGGCTCCTCCTTCCTCAGCATCTGGATTTTCCTATACATGGAGTCAGTCACAGCATCTGGTAGTGGATTGTGTTCCAAATTTTCCTTGTGTAGTTTCTTTGCTAAACTAAAGTTAGATATGGCCGCAATGATGGGAGAGAGCAACCGCTTCTCCTTTTTACTCTCCGCAAGCTCTCTCTGACACTCAGCATGTACCATGTCCTTATTAAGTTTGCAGAAATCTTCTACTTCCTTGGTGTTGTCTTGGCCAGGATCCGGCAAAGGACTAGAAAAGTCATCTCGGATTCTAGGGAAACCGTTGGAGGGAGTTTTCTGCCCTTGGAAACGATTGGCTGCCAAATCATCGTGGCTTGGCAGTTGGTGTTCTTTTTCTGTTATGTCACCAGGAACATATGGCTCAGCTGCAGAATTATTATCATCATTGTTTTCTTTATTTGTTTCCTAAAAAACGCAATCACCAATCATTTCTGATATACAATATGATTGTGTTCACCATATACATACTTGTGACCCAATCAAAACCGGAGCACCCTTTTAAAATCTATAGTTTTCAACCGATTTTTCTTTTTCTTTTTGTTTCAGCAGAAAGAGTGAATAAATAATCTACGTTTACAAAAATTTGCAAAATATAATTTCAATTTTCAGGACAAACTATATTATTTCATTCATGTAAAAAATTACGAAATATCATTTGCGATTTTCAACGAAGAAAATCGATGTCACCACTCGATTCACCATCCTTCAATTTTAGGTTGAGCGCAAAATTTTAGGAATATTTCATAGGAATTCTGAGAAGCGGCAACGTTGTCAACACAAATGTTGGAAATCGAGGTTAGTAATTTGAATTAATAACACAAATTACTATCGATTCCTAACATCAACCAAAAACTTTAATTTTATTATTTTCGAGTTTTCTACTTTCCGTCATACCATTCATACTAATAAATTCAATAATTCATTCAATAATATATTCTATCGGTCTATAAGTCTAACCAGTATCAATACATTTCAAATGTTTGTTGCTTCCACTAAACCACCATTTGCTTGAATACATTTTCCATATCTCTTTCTAATATTCTTCAAAGTATTTGTGAGTTCTTTGGGTGTTACTTCTCTTTTTTATTTTATGAATTTTTTCATTAATGCCAAGATGAATTCTATTTTAGATGTTAATTATAACTCGATTATAATTTCTATTATTAATTCGAATAACTACCAGAAACCTAGATGATTACCAACATTTATGTTAACAATGTTGCCGCTTCTCAGAATTTGTCTGAAATATTCATAAAAAATGGTGAATCACCAAAATTAATGTTGTTATAACCACTATGCTGTGTTATAACTTTGTGCCAATTGAAAATGTCCAATGAAATTTGGTGCTCAACCTAATTGAAGGATGCTGAATCCAGTGGTGTGGTCGATTTTCATTTGCAATTTTCAACATGAAAAAAATAGCATAGTAAGTAGGCCTTGAAAACTGAAATTATATTTTGAAAATTTGTGTAAACGTAGATCATCCGATACTCTTCCTGCTGACACAAGAAAAAAGAAATCGGTTGGAAACTTTAGATTTTATAAGGGTGCTCCGGTCTTGAATGGGTCACACTGTATACGTACAGGGTGACAATTTGATAACTTTCAATGGGAATATCTCGCAAAATAAAGAAGTTGGAGAATGCCAGTTTGATACAAAATATCTCGATAACCGAAAATAACGAGAAAAAATAGTGGATTAGGCAGAAGAAAAGAAAAGAGAGAACAAGAAAATAAAATCGACAACATTTTGGTTTCCTGTACATAAGTATAGCATGGAAAAATTACGAGGCCAAAAAGTTGTGTTTTGTTCTGATTTGTCAGAAACAATTGGAAGTTGAAAAAATCAACTGGTTGTTATTTTTCGTGCACAAAACATCAACAACCTGGTATCTTGGAAACGATAATCATTTCTGGGCATATGTACTGGGTAGGCCAAATTGGACTATTTTGAAGGGAAAGTCCTTTTCTGGAGATAGAAAACTGCGATGTCGGTAACTGAGGGTATTCTCATGAAAAACTCAATGGTATCGATATCTGTCTTCTTTTCGGAGTTACAAAGTGTTCTTCGAAAATGAGAATGTTTGAAAAGTGGCCATACATCATATACTTTTTATTGATAAAAATTGTCTGTTCTCATGCTTTTAGCATTGAGTTAGTGATAAAAATTGTTCTTGAGGCACTGAAAAAGTTATATTTTGAAACTAGAGATATATGGTGACTGATTTTTTCAGTGCCTGATGATCAATTTTCATGACACTATACATGCACAATGCTCTGGAAATAATTCCATGAACTTTCGCAAAAATAGAGTTAGCCACTTTTCAAAAATTCACATTTTCGAAATATACCTTGTAAGTCTGATCATCAGGCACTGACATCAGTTTTTTTTTAATGTAGTAGTTACGGGAATATGACTTTCTGTTCAGCCTTCAATTAATCAAAAGTTGTAGCACTGGCCGATTTTTGTGCAGTTCTCATGATTTCAAACTTGTAATAACTCGTCCCCGCAACGAAAATATTGTTCCTCGTGTTCCTCGAATTCCTAGGTAAATCTTCATAATTCATCCCTCGGGCCAAAGGCCCTCGGGTGAAAAGAAATATTGTTCATATTTGAGTGAAAATTGTGTTAATAATTTACCTTTTCTTCAGTTTCAAGGTTGATCTTCTTCAGGGAATCTTCTCTTATCAAACCATTCAACTTGCTAGCTGAGGAAAAGAAATAGAAAATGAAAATATATCATTCAGTGAGAAAAGATTCTCAACTTTCTAGACCCTATATGTTTAATTTTTTCTCAAGTTTCTTGAGACAGAAAAAGAGAATATATGATTATCCACCTTGATGACAATGAAAGATCCTTTTGGGTCCCAGAATTAAGGATCTACGTATCTTCACATTTTGGTCCATGAACTCGCTGAACTTAAATATCTTACTTCCTTGAAAGAAGTTCATCATAAAATGAGTATTAAATCTCAAAAACTTGATTCTTATTTATACTGATGATAATTATTTTTCAACAATGAGACAATGTAATAATCTACGAAGAAATTGTTACAATCATTATATCTGCCACGTCAATTGATTCTAAAAATAATAATAGCAAACATTTCTGGAATTTTTTAAAACCCTTCAAAAACTGATGGAGGTTATCCAACAAATAGTGTCCTGCACTAGTGACTTATTGCTATCTCTTTTGAGCTAATCATATTTTTGCCTGCTGAAAAAAATCGATTGAATGATTCATTATAAAGATAGATAACAAATTATTATAGTTCATGTGCCACTTCTACAACCAAAATCAAAGTCTAATATTTTTAGGTATTGTTTTGGTTTTAGTTTGTTCAAATGATGTGATTCATTTCGTTGAAGTACTGTACCTAATTCTAAATATATCTCATCAAACACTGAACTTATTGAGTAGAAACTATTTTCAATTTCAAACTTGAAACCCTGTATATATTTCGGACATTCCGTCCAATAATTCCCAGACAGCCAGTGTAAACAAGGTGTTTCTTTAATATTGCGAACTGATTTAAAGGTATGTTTCTTGGGTAAAGATAGGAAAAAAAATTATCTCCAACGTTATAATATGGCCGGATTTACTTTGTTTCCCAGATACTTATACAGAAGAATGTTGAATTTTTCTAACTTATGTTCGAACTAATTAATTTTTTCCAATGAATGAATAATAAATACCTACTTGAGTTTCATATAATAAAAATGTTAGGTCAGATACAACATGAGAGTTATCAATTTTTGCCATTCAAAATCACAGGAATATGAATTATTTCGAATCCAAATATCTCGAGAACTGATCATAGCGACTTCAACCAAGGGTATCAAGTATGCCATTCTCAAGTAGAAATGATAATCATCTATCAAAAATATAATACAAGCACATGTAAAAAAGTTTTGCCCCCTCAAAAGAGCAAAGAGAGGTGTAGATGTGTCAAAGAACATCTAGTTACCAAATCTTATTAAAAAATTGACATCATTTCAAAAACGAGGACGATTTTTCGCAAAATCATATATCTAATGCATTTGCACAAAAAAAAACAACCACATTTTTTCAATGCTCTTTTTAACCCTCATTGAACATTTGTGATATATTGACTCAATTTTAGGTCTATAGTGTCATTCAAGAAATAATGTTCAGGTTTACAAGTAGTAACATTTTTTGAAGCGAGAGAACCGTTTACTAGCCGAGGCTGGTAATTTTTACGAGCTTTAATAGTCATTTATGTATCAAGGGCGTAAAGTGGGCTTCAATAACGGACAGCAGCGTGTAAAGAGCTCGAGCGATAGCGGGGGCTTTTAACACGCCTAGGTTTCAGACATATATTTACTGTCAATATGGAATTTATCAATGACTTTTAATCGAGCTTTCAATTCATTTTGCCAAATTATATTTGCCACTGCCGAAGAAAGATCGAATACGGTAGTCTATTATAGAAATTACTGGAAAATCAGTGAAATTACTTTATTGCCCGATCACCTACTTTAGCGCTCGCTGTACTCCTTTTGGGCACTAGTGCTACTTTACGCCCGGGATTCCGAGTGATAAAATGTCACTTTCCGTCGTGCATAAAAAATGTTATGGACGAGTTGAAACAATAATACCTATACTTTTTTTACTATTGCCCTTTATCCATATATCATAATATTTTTTCTGTGATGGGGAAACAGTTTGATCTTTGTTGAAAGGTAACAAAATGTCACTCATTCAACTCTCGTCACTAGAAACGAAATTTAACGTTATGAGAATTTCTCTCATTTGCAACGGAAATCACGTTATCATTGAAGGCATTATGTAACAAAATGAAGTATCTTACTAAAGGGTTGTAGAAAAAGTATACATTATCTCAAAAACCATATGGTTCTCAAGGAATAAGATACTGTACAATAATATTCATATGGACTTTATTATAAGTAGTGGAAAATAGGGATGACAACTAATTTTTACCTGTTTTTCTATCAATTTTCTTCGGTAGCCTCCAACTTCCCACATAGTTACCCCATGGATTGGTTTTTGGCTTCTCTATGCTGGGCAATAGATGACCTCTGTCATTCGTTAAGAACTTTGTCTTTGCTGTTCTTCTTTGTGGTCTATCACAGTTCAACTTAGGAACCTCCCAATTTCTCAATATTTTCGGTTTGAACGCCGATTCAAACTATATTAAAGCAAAAGTGTTATTCTAGAAATCATTTTCAATCAATGTCTAGCAATGTCGCACAAATCAATGTATATAATTGAATATCCTTTTTATTTTATGTTAAATCCAGAACAATATTGTGCTGAATTAGGATAATACATTTTGTTGGTGTTCCTGTGCACACACCAATTGGCAATTGACCTCATAATAGGTCATTTGCTGTTCATATTCTGAGTATTCTTTTTAACTGACTTCTTGTTCAACTTGAAAAAAAAAACTCTGTTAGTTGGATAGATCTATGGTTGGATGCAACAGCGAATTGCATGAATTCTTTATCAGTGGTAGTCAGTATTAGTTGTTGCATTTGAATTATATTTATTTTCACCATTACTTGTTTTTTCTAATGGTTGCTTATATCAAGTAGTTCATAATGAAATTCAAATCATGATTACCTACTAAACTTATGACCTCTGCTAATTAAAATTTCCAGTTGACCAGATATATAACTAAATGTTCACTACTCTTTTCAATTTTGGTCATTAAAATCTCCAAGCATAATTTTCCAAGTTTGTATGCTTATACTATATGTCAAGAATTGCCCTATACATTCATTATTTCAAATAACACCCTCTATCTCTCAAATGAAGCCTTTCATTCAGCATATTCTCTCATAGGAATATTAATCAATTTTTAATGCAAACATTGCTAGTAATTGATTTCAATTATTATCTTTCATTTGTTTCATTAATTCTGCCCATGTGTGAGGATCTTGCTATTGATTGAATAAAACTAGATTTTGGGAAAACATATATTACTCTTTTGAATTCATAGGTAACAAAAGCACAATAAAGTAATGAAAGATATACAATTTCTCATCATTTTTTTACTTTTTTGTCATCCTCTCTTTTCTCTTCTTAATATGCTTTTTGACTTTTGTTTTTCTCTTCTCAGCTTGTGCTTCCTTGATGGTTTTTTTCCTAGCTTTTTTCTCATCTAGAGATTCATGTTTTGGTCGAGAAGAATCAACAAATTTGCTACCTTCTGCAGCATCCTCTTCCTCCTCCTCTGATGTTTCTCCACAACTGCTGCTTCCATCATCAGATTCCTCTTCTGATTTGTCACATTTCAACATTTCAGGGCGTTGAACTGTCCCACTTAAATCGGACTTCAAGCCCACCAAGGTTTTGTACACTAGATTATCAGCAATGCCTGCTTTTGCTTGGTTTATATCCCTCTCAAAATCTATAACTTCCGTTAACCGTTTTGGAATGTATGCTTGTTTAAAAACTTCCTCATCTACCTGTGAATAAATTTCACAATGAATAGGGTGACTGATATTTGCTGGAACTCTATAGTTGGTTAATGAAATAACATCAACAATACTGAGATTTTCTATTTCCACGAAATTCTTAGAGATTACTGAACAATAACCTCCAGAAGTATTCGGATTTAAGTGTGTTGGTACTTTCAGTAATAGTATGTCGCTGACCTTAGACACCCTAGTTCCTATAAATTCGCACAAAGACCTAGGCTTAAAGTATGGTGCTCAAAAAACATCAACATTTTTCAACTAATTTCGACTTTTAGACCAGAAGTCCTATGGGGCGGCTTCCTAAAGAAAAAGTCAATCAGACTTTTTGTGAAGCTGGATAAATTTCATTCAATTTGAGTCTAATATCATTTCAGTTAGTCAAATGAAACCCAAAAGCGAAGGCAGAATGTTTTTTAATCTTTGTCACCTACCTCAATGATGAATATCAAAATAATGCAAATTAAGAAATCAACTTATAACCCAATCAGATCTAATTTTTTGTAGTTTTCATATCCTGGATTAGTATTCACCAAAATTTCTAAATACCACAGGATTAAAAAACATTCAATGCACATGTTTTTTTTTCATAGCCATCTACTAATAAGGTCCACAGCTTTCATAGAGACTTAATACTACTGAATAATTGTAAATGTTCAACCATTGTCGTTCTAGATGACAACCTAGTTAAGTAGTTAGTAGGCAGGAGCTATAATTCGCCAACTAGGTTTTCATTTAGATCGACAATGATTCAACGTTCTTAAAATTGAAACTAGTGTGTGACGAAAAATTGTGTCAGCAATATGGTGTATATGAAAATTTGTGATTGGACAATGTTGCTACATATTTACAAGACCCATCAATGAAAAATCCACTGGAAAACTAGAAACTATCTAATTTTAGGGCTAATACTCAAAATATCATATGGGTGGTATATATTTTTGTGAAGCACAAAGCATCATTGTTTCAAATATGAAAAAATATACAGGGTGTTCTATTTGAAAAACATAACTTTGGGTTATATCTGCATAATTATAACTTATTTTGAAAATCTGACTAGGCCACTGGATTCTACATAAGTGTGAAAGGAAGTTTTAACTTTCTTAGTTGTTACTAGATGTTAGTATAGTTAGTTGAAAGATAACTTAGATACTGGGGGGTCCCAAATTGCAACATTTTCAATTTTGCCGGTATCTCAAAAATGACGCCAGTTATGAAAATGTTGTTCATGGCATCACGAGTTTCATAAAAAAGTAGCCAACTTTAGTGAAGACTGTCTATCTTTCAAAATAAGGGAATCCAGTAAGGACATCAGAAATGGGACAGCCTGTACAGTCTAATTGATCTAATTCTTTCTGTTAATTTTATGAGAAACAGGAAAATTATCATAGTGCAACCTTCACTGGAATGATGAAAATATCTTATAGGATGCAATGAGAATCCATCATGATGAAAATATTTCATTTAAAGCAATGAGAATTCATCATGATGTATATATTAGATTCAAAAGTTGTACTAAATATGCTGTTAACATAAGAGTTAACTGAAGTGATATTGTTTTATTTCATAAGCATTAGAGCATAACTAAGTGTCTGTAGGATACTCAGTAGGATGTATGAATCAAAATTGTGTCAGACGCTAAATAAAGAATAAACAGTGTGAGTTTAATTCTTCCTGTTTTCCAACAACATCTATCACAAAAATAAAAAAATATTTCCCAAATCTGAGGTTACCATTATATTTGTCATAAAATCCTCTGAAATATTCCTCATATAATTAGATTTAGATCTATATATTTTATTATAGACAAACTTACAGTGTCTCCTGATTCTAGTGCAATCACCTTCTCATTTTGGAGAAGAATGAATGATTCACAATTATTTTCTTCTGAATGAATAATTCAAAAATACCTATCAGATGGTTTGAGAAATGGCCTCCTGTGGCCAAAAGTACTACCCAAAAATCATTAGGCACCATACTATTTTGCAAACTGATTAAATTTCATATTTGTTTATCTCTGAATTACAAGTCATGTCAAAAAAGTGTATTTTTGAAAAGTTGCTGAATCTGATTTTTTTGTCAATTTTTTTGTGTCTCATAAAACTTACTGCCTTGTGATTTTTTTCATGAATATAAAGGATTTTTGTAAAAAGAACAAGTTTCAGCTGGTTTTCAATTGGGTTTTTCATAAAAATTAAACCTCAGGCACCAACACCAATTGGCATCTATCCAGTTTGGAATATTCAATTATTTGGGACTTCTGCAAATAGTGCATATTCTATTCATCAGTTTTCAAAATAAATTTTTGTGATGTAACTTTGATCACAGAAGACTCCTTGGAAGACACAATTCATAGACTGTCTTTTATTCCAATCCAAGATATGAGAATGGTGAAACTAGAAGTAGAACACACTGTATATGCATAATGAACCTGCAGCAATCTCTATCCTTTCAATGATAAATAATTTGGCTGTTTTGCTTTATTTTTTCCATTATTTTTCATTTAATAGAGTATCCCAGAAAATGTGGAAGTACTATAATATTTGACAGTGAACAATTGTATCAAATATAAGATAATAATTGACAAGAACTGCTTGAATATACAAAGATAGGTATAATAAATGTTGCTTGATCATTCTCTTTTGCTGCTTTTCTTGAATGGGAAATTAGAAATGGTGGTATTTGATGATTTTATCAATATCAGCTACAAATCCATGTTTTTTCTTTATATTGTTATGTAGATGAAATAAAATCTGCCCCTTTATAAATACCTGATCATGGGAAGATCTCTCAGTTCTGTCAGCAGATTGTTGTGCCAGTATATCCAAGCACTCCTCCATATTTCCTTCATTAATAGATGGATCAGTGATAAAATCAAACAACTCTTTGATTCCCATAGTAGCAACATCCTTTTTGAAATAATCAGTTATGTTTGTACAATCTTTCCTCAAAAATTCAAGTGCATGTGGATGATCATGTTCAACAGATTGAGAAACATCTATTATGACAATTTGGCCATTTTGATATAGCATATTAAACTCAGAGAGATCAGCATGGACTAATTTACATTTGTTGTACAGTTTCCACATTAGTATAACAATTTCTCTGTATATTTCTCTAGCTTTTGACTGGCTCAATTCAACATCTTTCAATTTAGGAGCTGGCCAACCTTAAATTTGAGATTGATACTGAAAATTAAAATCTAAATATTTTCAAAACCTTACCATCTTTTCCAATAAATGTCATAACAAGCACATGTGATCTTAATAAAATTGGTTCAGGAACATTGATACCATTAGAGTGCATCCTCACTAGATTTCTCATCTCCTTTTCAGCCCAAGTACGAACCATTTTTCTAGGATTATGCTTACAATATCCATGTCTAAATCTAAATTCACCAGTTACATATTTGTCCCTATCTTTGAATACTAAAATAGATGTTTTGAAGATTTTAATAGCATAATCCTGGCCACTTTTTGATGAGGCATGATAAACATTTGCTTCTTTTCCTGTGGATATGCAACCATTTATCTCAGTTATGATGTTCCTATTCAAGAGCTTGAAAAGTATCATCCTAGTTCTAGGATCCATAACTTGTTCTGCAGTTGCCCTGTCATGTTTATCTTTTGTTCTGAATCTTTCATTCTCCAAGCGTTTCTGATTTTCAGTCAGTAGATTCGTTGTGTTTTTAGGAAGATCAGATACATCATACTGATGGATACTTATTTTGTTGGTATATTTTCTGAATAAATTATCATTTGTTTGAAAAGAGCTCACTCTATTTGCATTGCTTTGATGATTGGAGTGAGATCTAGTATTACTTCCATCCAGAGTGAAATCATCATCTTCATCGTAAGACCAATTCAAATTATCATGATCATCATCCTGGTCTGAATTATTTTCATTGTCTTGAGCACCTTCCTGTTCAACATCTATTTTCAAATCATGAACTTTATGGCAGGTTTCTTCCACATCACAGAATAGGTCGTCCTCAGTGAGTGGCATAGATTCGTTGGTCATTTTTGAAAACACTTTTCAATATATTGCTCATCAACAATACTTTTTGGAAAGTAAATAATATGTTTCACATGAACAGTATGTGAGAGGTGAGATTTGAGCACGATTTGAGGTTATTGTCACTTGTCCAACTGGATGTGGACTGTGAAGCCATAAGCCAATAAAAGGACGTCAAAAGAGAAAAGAGAGTCAGTGGAGACTGGAGCCAGAGAGCAAGGTTCGTTTTCGCCGGATGCACGTATAGACCAATCGGAACGTTTATGCCAATGGCGGCAAATTTGTATCGCTGAACGCGGTGTTTGTAATTCTTCGATGCAGGAGAAGGGCGTTTATGTTTTGCCCGAGAGCGCTAACCCGCACCTGAGAGCCTAAAAAAAATATATCACCGAAATATAGCAATCACCATATCGGTCTCCTCATTTGGTCAGTAATTTTTCAACAAAAAAAGAATGTTTTCGCTACTAGCTATAGAACCTGCCATTATTTAGGGGTTGAAGCATGAAAATAATAGGCAAGCAACAAGCTAGGCAAGTTGCAAACAGTTGCACTAGGCTATATATATATATTCAATCGATTCACATCATAAAGGTTCACGATTTCATTACGATGGTGCCTCGTACGAATGCGCTGAATGCCAGTTCAAACTGGCAATTATAGCTAAATGCCAGTTCAAACTGGCAATTATGGCTAATTGCCAGTTCAAACTGGCAATTATAGCTAATTGCCAGATCAAACTGGCAATTATGGCTAATTGCAAGATCAAACTGGCAATTATAAAAAAAGTGTCATGTCCGTTCAGCGCTTTCGTAATAAATAGCATTTTTGCGAACGTAAATAATTATTTCCGCGGAAACGGTGTGAGTTCAACAAAAAATAATTCATCTTGTTTTGTCCAACAAATTATCATTTTCAACCTACAGGAGCTATTGATGAACATTCCAAAATTATATAGCGAGCAGTTGATTCAAATTTTTACTATATATTTTTCCCGACGCAAGAGTAAGACACGCTGTATACAATACAGTAGGGTGGGCCAAAAATGATGATTGTTTTTAATAAATTTTCGAAATTCCAATTGCGCTACTTTTTGAAAATTGCGAATTAGTCCTCTTGAAGCGAACGAAAAAAAAATCTTATAATGTTCGAAGAACATATCGTGCATACCTAGGTATACCCATTAGAGAGGATAGGGAGAGGAGTTGGGTATTGAAATTTTCTTTGAATTTTTATAGGATGTTGTAAGTTCTTGGAATACATTACTAAAAAAAAATTTGGGTTTTCCAGCACGTATTTCAACCGACCCTAAGGGCCCTTCAAAGGGCCAAATTATTATTTTCTTCAATTACACCAAAAAAAGTTTCACATACAAGGTGTTTTTGAAATAAGTGCACAAGGAATATTCCCAAGATATCAGATGTTTTCCAATTCTTCTAATTAACGAGAAATTTCATCCCAAAAAATTGAACAAAATACGAGAAAAAAATCGCCACTTAAAAACAATTTTAATGATTGAACTCCGCGTGATTCTGCCTACCACATGGAAATTTGAACAGAGGTGACGTCAGATTTGCTACAGTGTAGAACTTTGGGTGGAAAGAAAGGGTCTAACCTCGAATTTTATTTGGATCCCTAATTTTTTTTATTAGTGCCATTCGATAGTATACACGTCGAGCCTTGTAAGTGTTTGAAATATTTGCACTTATTTCAATGCCACCCTGTATATTGAACTCTTTATTTTCTAGAAAAAAAAATGACTCGATGTTTGCAGTCGCTTTATTTAGTGTGAGTATAAAAAGATCTGTTCTCACTAAATCAACTCAGAATATGAATTCGTCAATAATTTAATTAATTGAATCCTACTAAAGCGATAGAAGTGTTGCATATAGTACCAGCACAGTTAACAAAAGTAAGCACACAACACACACAAGTAAGGAAAAAATTAAATGCGAAGGATGTCCTCAGGGCTCTGCCTGCTTGGGATCGCTGCTCTTGAATTTCACTGTAGAAATTGCTGAGAATGAAATGACATTAAAAAATGTAGAAATAGCGGCATATGAAGACGATATCTGATGAAGCAGCACGAAATAAAAGAGATCCCGAAGTGATTGATTATAACTCATTAAGGAAGTTGTAGATGTGGGCAAAACAGAATAAACTAGAAATACCGACAAACAAAACAAAATACATGCTAATCTCAAATTCATCCAGAAATAGAAATCCAGCTATAAGATATATTGAATGACTTGCCGGTAACAAAAGAAGAATGTTCTGTTCTACCTAGAACTCCTATTTTTTCCCAGGAAACTATAAGAACTCACGATGAAGGCAGGTCAAATTTGTCAATGACGATCTTGCTGAAATTGCAGCTAGGGGAACCAACAACTTAGTTGAATTCAACGCCACCAAAACTCAAGCCTGTATTGTTTCTCTAGAAAGGCGGAACTCAGTATGCCAGATATAACAATAATGTCTGGTACCACCATTTCCACCAAGACCACTATATCTATGCTCGGTATTTCCGTCAGCAATACTCTTTCATGGAAAAATCATGTCCGATCCATATCGAAAGCTGCTTCACAAGACTCGGCTTCTTTTTATTCCATGCAAAAATCTACTTCACACCTCAACAGCTTTTCATGATCTACAGAGCACAGATACAGCCAGTTTTATAATACTGTTTCTTTGTTTATACGTCCATGGTTCTCACTTATGGGCTTCAGCACCCAAACATACGCTGATACTCTTATAGATTTTATCCAGAGAAGAGCCATTCGCCTGGTGGGTATGATATGCCTCATCTCATTTTAGAACACCGTAGAAAAGTCGGCGACCTTTCACTTTTCTGTAGATGCTTGCACGGAAAATGTTCCCCAGAAATCTTTGTTATCATGCCATCTCTAGCAAATACCAGTCAGACGAACTTGACAGGCCCAGTCAGCACACCCTTTCGTTGTCAACCTTGAAATATGTCGAACAAGACTTCATTAAAACTCGTTCGTCTATAGAACGGCAAAAGCATTGGAATTCTTTGCCAATGGAAGTGTTCCCAAAAAGTCGTCCTCCAAAAGTTGAAAAAAAATTCCAACACCTACCTCCTCCTCCTATATCCTCCCTAGATACGCACGAAAGATTACACGAGGGCACATTTCAATAGCTACACGAAATATGGATATTGGTATGAGATTTCAAACATCATTTGCCATATTCAAAATGTAGCACTTGATGGACTACCATGCGTTATTGAATCACAAGAAAAATAAAAAAGATTCAGCTGTTCAAAAGTTGACTAGGCGGACGTTTCAAGACACAGATGAGTAATGAGAAAATTTAGAGTTCACGGTGTTTAATGATTAAAGAAACTCTGACGAAATATCCTCTACGTTTAACTTCATAATATTCAGAAAACTGTGATCGAAACACTGTGAAAAATGAGTATGAAATTCTTTATGCTAGGATCTCTCTCATACACAACGCCTCCACAGTTTCACTGTTTGACTGTTAAAAAATATTCACCGCAACAGTTTGTAATGTATAAATAGTTTATTTTTCTGTGGAGAAGAGATATATGAGTATACTTCCTTCCATCCCTATCACTCATTTGGAACCATATAGATAGAGGTATATACCTACATTGATTGAAGTCATATTCCAATATAGACCCTTTGCACAAGAGCTCTCCTTTTTTCTATCCTCTCTATATTGACGACACCTGTTAGTAAATCGGTTTCGCCCACCCCACATAGGGGAAAAATCTACAAATCAAATCAAGATAATCTCTCAAACACCACTAGACACTTTAACAATGAAGGGATGTCACATGCCCAATTACAAGCACCCTTATAATTTCCGGATGGATTTGAATTGAAACTCCTTGAACAATAACTATTAGCAGGAGCAAAAATATAGAGAGTTTGTCGAATCTCAGTGTCCATTTAGACACGTTTGGAAACTGAAGGATGAAGAAGAACTTTATTTGAGTATTTTCTGGGGTTTTCAGTTGATTCCAAAATCGAACTCATAACAGGAATACTATTTTTTCGATTACCCCAACTTCATATTAGTATGAAAGTACCAACAATATTTTTTTCGATAATACACAATTTCCTGATTTCTATATATCTTTGTACTTTCTCGAGATTCCTCCTCTATACTACCTAAATTAAATCCATAAGGCTGAATTTTCTATAATAACATTCTCGGCTTTATCCAATGAGCCTGATATAAGAGCACTACTCGACTTCCGGTTCAACCGGCAGTGGATTCAAGTAGATTTTGATATTAATCACAATTGAAAAAATTGATTTCTTCCACGATCGTAGCTGCACTGGTTCGTATCTAACAGTTGAATCAGAATTCCATCATTATTACGATTACATTCCAAGAATAAGGCGCTTTTATATATACTTAGATAATAATCAAATTCCACTGAAAACCGTGCATTGAACCTTTGACTTCGCACCTGTAACAGGAACAATAGGATCCTAGCAAAAATCAATATTCTCAATGTTGTGCTATCTGATGGAGTGGAAAAATACAATATATACTTATACGAATAAGTAAAGATATTCAGAAGAGAAAAATGATTATCAATAGGAAATCATTCGAACGGAACAGCACTTTCAATTTGTACGAATCTAATACTTATCGAAGATTCTCTTCATATTATGTCTTACGTACTTCATAGCAGCATTGTATATATTTGAATACAGTTCCAGAAGGAGCCGAATATAGGAAGATTCAAAGTTACAACTTTTGCACTTTCTGATGTATCAGGAGTTGTATTTGATAGTTTGCTTTCAGTATTTTCGATCATGCAAAAATAGGCTAGCGGTTTTTATTATTTTCGCGCACGAGCGCAGAAGATATCAGATAGGTAATGAACGTTTCATGAAAAAGGTCAACGAGTTGAGATTTGAAAGCGTCAGAGACTACTTCTGATGATTGGTTGTGAAAAAATATTCGATACATATTCCAATATTGTCAAATAGAGTTACTGTTCAATAACTCAGTCTGCTAAATACCAACACAAAGACTCGGCGAAGGAAATGCCAGAAATATATAGGTAATAGGTAATACCTACTCCTCCTTATTATTCGATTTGCTCAATGAGTGCGACAGCGAAATAGGTATCTTTGAAAATATCAACTCTTCCTCTTAGTTTGGGAAGTGTCATTTTCCCGCAGTATAGGTAGTGCGGAAAAAGTTTTCCCACACTAGTGCGGGAAAAACATTTATATAATATTCCCACAAAATATGAGTGGTGGGTGACACAATATTAACATTTTAGGATTTTTTGTTGCAGTATTCAGTAAGTTTGTAGAAAATCATCCATCAAATTAAACTATTCATTGTGAAAATGAAGAAATAT